TTTAGTTCAACGTTGATATAGTTATTATAAGCAAGCATTATTTCATTAATGTTGAAAGTAATTAACGCAATATTTAGTATCAGATAACGTTGATATCAAATATTGGTACATTTAATCTTATGTATAACATTTATGTTCATTTCCAAGTGATTTCATACTGATATAGTTGAACTGTTTATTTCAAAAAATTATTGATGAAGTGTTTTATTATGTAATTTAATTACCAAAGAGCTTTCAATTACGTATTAATAATTGGTGAAGAAATTTAAAAAAACTATTCGTTCTTACTGAATTCACAACTACTGAACTAATTATTGAATAATTGAATTATTAGCAATACTTTTAGTTATTAATGTCTTAAATATTTAAAACATAATTGAACAAAAAAAAACTGGTATTAAAATAAATGAATTTTCTTTCAGGATACTGGCTCTTCCATTGTCATTTCCTCTTCCACATAGTAATTGGTATGAACTTGATTCTTCATGTTGGTACACACGCCGATTTACCACCAATTCCACCAAACTTCCCTCAATGTGGAGACCATTTACCACCAATAACACCACCGTTAGCAGAAAGCGTGTTCCATTAAAAGTGTATTATTAGTAATACTCTTGTAAAATAGTTTAATCCGGGGGAGGATTAATCAACGCTTGAATATGGTATTTATTGAACTTGAAGTAATGTCAAAGGTTTTCACCAGGAACCTGTCGATATTTTTCTAACATTATTGTGTAATTGTGTAAATAATTTAGAGCTAGATAATTGTGTATACCTTTATACTACTTTAATTTTTCTATTGCGAAGTAGCAAGAGGATCGTTGATTGTTTTCTTTTCTTTTTTTACTATTATCAATAAAGATTGAATGAGAAAAAGAGTGCGCGTGGAAATGTGAGTATTCGTTTGTATTTAAATACAATAGAATGCTGTTAAAGATAAATCTAACGATCCTATTATTTGTTCTTGCTACTTTCGACTGCCCATTCATACTTTGTTTATCATTCTCGAAACAGAGAAACATATATTTTTAATAATAAAGTTGTTTACAAAAAACTGGCTTAAATATTTATATAATTTATTTCATAACATAATTACATTTTAATCATTCTAGTCGTACTTGAGATTATTATCGACAAGATCTCAAGTTCAAAAATACTTCTTTTTAGATTCATTCATTAATAAACAATACATTCATTAAAAACAAATACATTTTCAATATTAAAATATATTATCGAGTATTGTAAACCTATATGTTCCTTTCAAATAATTTCCTAAATAAATCAAGAACTCCTATGTTGAAACAAATTGACCATGACAATAATTTTACTAGATCCTAATTGATGTCATAAAAATCAACTGCCCATGAAGAACCTGAACACGTGAATGAGTCTTTGGATTTGATGCCCCATTAGCTGATTATGCTCTCATATTGATCAATAACTCATTTTTTCATCACCAATAAGCATCATTGAATGACCTAACTATAATGACTTGCAAGGATATTACTTTAGTAACCAGATTTTAGTCCTGGCAATTAAAGTAGAATATCATAATTTACATATTGATCTGCTTTTTTTTATCTTAAGATAATATATGAGTTCTACACCCACCAGAGAGTTTTAGAAAAAATAATCATTAGTATTGCAATAGAGATAGATTTACTTTAAATAAAAAAATTTGTTCTGTTTGATCAACCACCACATCTGCTTCAACATATAGAAATAAATCTACACTTGTTTGAACTCTATTCAGCCAGGTTTTTTTTAGTGTTAACTCACACATGTACATACTACTGGCAGTTTTAATTTCCAGTATATATCAATACCACATAAATCAAAGATAAAACCACAATTGAGGATTTGGAATACTTTTTTTTATTTTCATTCTAGGATAAAAAGTATTGAGTTAGTGAGATCGAAAAAAAACTTTCATCATGGTATACTAAAATTATTTCTTTTCTTCTTTTGGTTAAAAATACTATAAATATTTGAATATATGCATAATTCATAACGTACATGAAGTAGCATATTGAGCAAGAATTGTGGGAAGAGATAGGTGAGAGCGAATATGACAATTGCATATATATTTCTTTTTCAAAGAACAAGTGATTGTTGTCAATCAATTATCTTATTCAATTATTAATGTCTCAATTATCAACTTTGCAAGTTTAAATTATTCATCACATTTTCCTTTACACAATTAATCCTATACTTCTAATAAATAATCAAATCCTAAGAATCATCAACTCATGAGAAACTGTCAATAAATTTATTTCTTAAAATTTGCCAAGAATATATTATGAAAATACTGCTACTTAGATGCAATAAAAACCAGTTATACGACATCTATTCCTAAAGGGCTATACATTGATCTACCTCAATACTTGTTTTTTCTATATCACTAAGTAGCAACTCAACTGATTTCGCTCCAAATTAAATTAGTTTCAAGTTACTAGTAGATCGATGACGGAAGATTAATCAAAATCTGTCTTATCATGTGTATTATCCTTATAACGTCCAATGACAAATTCTTATAGGTTGAGTCATCTAATGCAATCAATAATAAACTCCACCAGTTTATATAACATCAAAAATAGTTATAATTAAAGAAGTTGTATAACACTAACAAAAAAATTGGTTCTCACTGAATCAATAAGACCAAAAAAGCTCAATAAAAATCCGCTTGATGCAGGAGTTGATGATGGTTTATTGAATATTGTCACTGGTCAGACAACGTCTGAAGCAACTGCTCCTTTTCTACTAGATGCACCTAAATCAGGTCAATTAAGAAAAAGAAAGGTTTCCAAATAGCTTTCCTATCTACATCTATTCTACAATGATAGTGTAGAGAAGCATTTTCTCATTGATTCTTGGAACTGTTGCATTTAGTACCTGGTAGATCTTTGAATTAGGTAATTAAACACCTTGCTGCTCATTAGAAGATGCAACATCACTGAACAAAGCTTCAAACGTCTCTGAAACCACTGAACTGATTTAGTTTGTTTCTAGTTCAGAGTGAAGTGATTTTGGTCTAATAAAGACTATTTACCTTCATTCCAAGTTATCTGAAAGTTAAACAGATGTATCGAATAGCTGATTAATTATCTTGATAAATATTTAGGTATCAGATATATATTACTAAAAGACAAATAGCTTAGTAGTTTAAGTGATTAATAACACTATTGATTTTCAAACAAATAAAATCTTGAAAGATAATACTTTTCATCAGCAGAATTGGGTTTTTCCAATTAATTTAATTACGTCTCAATTAAAATCTTATCAACATACCAGCTATCAATAGATATAAATCTCGAATTTTTTGTTAATCTAATTTTCTACTGAATAGCATTGCACTCATTAGTACTTTTAAGATTATCAACAATGATGATAAGATCAACTTCATCTTTTTCCCTTATATTTAATTCATAAACAACGTAATTATTGTAATAATTACTGCTATTGTTGATGAGTTGGTTTTTTTTTTTTTTTAACATTGAAAGAAAGAAAAATAAAATCTCCATTAGAAAGTTACGAATAAATGAAGGTAAAGGTTATTCATTATTTTTGTAAAGGAAATGTTCAATGTAAAAGCATGAACATTAATGTGTGAATAATTAAATTGCAATCTGTTCCATCATGAAATGCTTGATTATCAATAGGACGTGATAAATAGATAATGTTAATCTTAAGAAATACGTGAATCATTGACTTTTTCAGCCAAAGAATAATCTAAGTGATTTATTATTAGCTGCAGAATAATGTTGACAAAAATATATATCTTATTAGATAGTTTTATTCCAGGCATTTTTTTTTTTATTTTAATGGAGATGTTAATCAGAAGTGATTTCGAGACTTTGAAGATGTATGTTGGATTCAGTGGGAAAAAATTGGGTGAAAACCCAATATTTATTTATTGTTGACAATTTAAATCAGATAATTTTGATTTGTATCAAACAAAAGCGTCATATGATGATTGTGAGTACGGAAGCAATTTTCTTCATCAAGTGAAATCAAATGATAATTTATTCTCATCAGAATCCTTATCAATGCTTTAGCATTCAAATAAGATATTTATCAGATTGAGGAGAAAAATAATCGATATGATTGGAGTATATAAAGCCCAGATTCATTGAGAAAAGCAGTAACAAATCCAATTTTTCCAAGATGAAATCATTAGCAACTTTGGTAGCAGTTTTGTCAGTTGTTTCTGCTGTTTCAGCTCGAGATATCTCTCGAGTTGTTGGTGGAACTGAAGCAGCTGAAGGGGCACATCCACATCAAGTCTCTTTAAGACGAGGAAATTCGCATTTCTGTGGTGGAGTTATTCTAAATAGCTATTGGATTGTTACTGCTGCTCACTGCCTTGTTTAGTAAGTAAACATGATGAAATAGTACGTGCTTTTATACACTAAATATTCATTTTACCAATTCAATTCCCAAGATTTAATCAAAGTATATTCGTACGGTGTTATAAATGTGTTCAGAATTTCCTGAGATTGCAATAAAAAATGGTTATTTATTGAAATCAATTGGAGAATCTGATGTACAGGCTGTGAAATTGAATTATCAAAAAAGAAGTACTGATGCTAGAAGTTTAAAGCTATTCAAATAATGTCATCTGTCGATTAATTTAACTACTGCCACTAGTAAATTATTAAAAGACTGTTAGCATTAATGTTTTATTTGATGTTATTATTTTAGCACTTCACCATCATCTGTAAGTGTAGTGGTAGGCACAAACAGCCTCTCAAAAGGTGGAGAATACTATAAAGCTCAAGTTCTGATGGTCCACGAGAAATATGACAGTTCTAAATTCTTGAATGATATTGGTCTCATTAAAGTATCCGAAGAAATAGTATTTACTGAGAAAATTCAACCCATTTCTCTTCCCAAAGTTGATGATACGTTCAAAGAATATCCTGTCAAATTGTCTGGATGGGGATCAATCTATGTTGGCAGTTCACTTCCTGATAAATTACAGGAAATCGATTTGATGGTTATCACTCATGAAAAATGTTTAAACTACCATCCAGCATATATCACTAAATCACATGTTTGCACTTTGACCAAAGTTGGAGAAGGTGCTTGCCACGTAAGTTTCATTTCATTACTAAACTAATATTCTACATGAATTAATCCACTTTCTTGAATATCATATGAATATGAAAATTATTAGAGCATTTATACTGTATGTGTTTTAAGCTATAACAATGTTTGGTTTAAAATTTCAGGGTGACTCTGGTGGTCCACTTAGTGCTGATGGCGTTCTTGTTGGTTTGGTTTCCTTTGGAAGACCCTGTGCTCGTGGATTTCCCGATGTTTATACTCGGGTTTCAGCTTTTGTTGACTGGATTGAAGATACCATGGCTAAAACTGACATGATAATCAGCCAATTGCAACATTAATTAAAACTTTATTGTTGTTATAACAGTAAATATTTGGGCATTTAATGTTATATTAAAACTGTGTCCATTATCTAATAAATGATGCTATAACATAAAAAAATGTAGTTTTTTTTCTTTTGTGTTTGTCTTGGATCATTTTTATTAAATATCATGAGCATCACCCAATATACTGAATTTTTATATGATTAATTATTCAGTCAACAACGAATGTTAATTAATAAAATTATTAAAAGGAATTGATATTGAGTTGTTTCAGATATCGATTTCAACGTTTGATTGAAATAAAAGTACTTAATATAATTATTAGTAATTAAAATTTAATCAATTAAATGATTAATTGAATAATCAATAATTAATCTTCAAGTACTGATATTGTAAAGTATAAAATAAATAATTTTTCAAGCAAAATAGCAGTTTAATAGAAGCTCAATAATGTTCCTTTTAAATTCTTTATTTTTATTTCTTATTGCTATAAATGGCAATGGTAAGTAATTATTCTTGTCGTTAACTCAACAAATTATATAAATTTATTTGAGTGAGTTACATGAAATATAATTGTATAATTATATCATTAGAAGCAGCAAATATAGCACGTGTTGTTGGTGGTAGAGATGCACCAGAGCATAAATATCCTTATCAAGTTTCTCTCAGCCGTATGATTTTTGGCGAATATGACCATTTCTGTGGTGGGTCTATAATACATAAAAATTGGATCCTTACTGCTGGTCATTGCGTAGAAGGGTAATTAATTATTTCATTATAAATTATTTCAAATGACTTCAGTTATTAGCAACATTAAAAATTTCTTTCTCAAGCTTGTTATGAAAAGTATTTCGTAATGTATTATTCAAATTTTTAGCGGTCTAGATAATTTTATAATTAAAGCTGGCATCAACCGACTCAATCAGCAAGGAGATATATATAATATCTGGTTCAGTGTTATTCCTGATAGTTATGTAAACTTTTTCCATGATGACATTGCTTTAATTCGAGTACGAGAAGATATAGTATTCTCAGATTATGTTAAGCCAATTGCTTTAGCACGAGATGATCTACAAACAGACTTTACTTGGGCTATATTTTCTGGATGGGGTAGTACTTATGTATGTACAATTCATTACATTTATTTGCTTCACATTATTAATTAAAATCCAAGCTTCTTTTTTCTTTAAACAATTTGTCAATTTTGTTTAAAAACCATTTACTGTTTTATTCTTCTAGCTGGGAGGACCATCACCCAACAATCTTCAAGAAATCGATATGATGATAATTTCCAATGACATTTGCAGAAAAGAAAAGACTACAATTACTGCAAATCATATTTGTACTTTGAGTAAACCACTTCAAGGCAATTGTCATGTAAGTATATAAATGTAATTAACAGTTCGATTGAACAGGCTATTCATTATCAATTTTCTTCTTCATTGATTCAACGACTATTTTAGGGCGATTCTGGAGGACCTCTTGTATTAAATGGCTTTCAAGTTGGTATTGCTTCATATGTCACTCCATGTGCTGTTGGTAATCCAGATGCTTATACTCGAGTCTCTAAATATGTTGGCTGGATTCATTATATCATGGAAAAATATCAGTCACCTGTATTTAGAAGTTCACATTTTAACAAACTTCTAGATGATTAAAACATCATTTCAAGTAATATTTTGGTACTTAAGAACCAAATGTGATATTCAGTAATAAATAAAAAATTGTGATGATAATTTAACATTTTAGAAAATAAAAAATAATTAATGTAAATAGAAAATTATGAAACATTGCTTGGATAATAAAGCATCAGTTTTTAAAAAGTAGAAAATATCGAACTAAAAATGAGACTAATTTTTATTTATTTATATAATTAAAAAAAATTTCCATCATCACCTTAAATAAGTTATTAAAAATTTTGTTGATCAATAATCAAAGGTATTCTGATTATTTTATCATTCATAAATATCAGAAATATTTTGATAAATAAGCTAAAAATAAGCTAAATTGGTATCATTTGTTATCATCAAATCATATCAATGAATATTTGTATAATGAATTCGTTGGTGTCTATATTAATAAGAACTATTGTTCAATTGATTAATACTGTCATTATTTTTAAACTAATAGTCTTACAATCATGTGGATAAGACAATCTTCCTGCTTGCTATAAAAGTTATTGAAGTTTTACCATTTCTTTATAGTCTCATATCACTTGAAAATTGAAATGAAATAAGTTGCAATTTAAAACTCTCAAGACATTAATTTACAGAAGACCTGAAGTAACTAATGTAGTTATCAATAAATAATGTTTATATCTATAGAAGTGTGTAAGATGTTTCATAATAGATGATTAATATTCCATAAGTATAATGGAAAAGAGTTCGTTGGCTTCACTAAACAATCTTGGAGAAACCATATGTATTTTATAACATACAAGTACTGATACGTACTCACGTCTAAAAGGTTCTGACCTCAAAGAGCAACAGAGTACGTCGTAATACAAGCAGTGACATGATTATAGAGTAGATATTGATGTGACATTTTCAGAGTTGAGCTGGTATATATAACTTGAATTAAAGTATTGCCGGAAGTACAATATCATCTTGGCTTGAATTGTGTCAGCAGTGGTTTGGTATGTTGATATTGTGGTATTGATATTGTTTTAAATCAATAAGGTAATCATTTTTATAATAATACCAGATATTATATAATATACTACAGACAAGTATTGCTGAAGAAAAATCCTGATTGATTGACAATTGTATCTTATTTATTACTACGTAAAGGAATCGTTTTAAAACGAAGCAATTTATAAGAAAACCGTTTGCGATATAACTAAAATCGTTTAGCATTTTATGAAATTTTTTAACTACTCCAAAATGCGTAATTACTGACAGGTATCGAGTACTTTAGATGCACAACATCTATTTCCTGCTGAAATATATTGGTACTGATGATATATAATGTAGGACGAATATTTTGGCAGATGCAATCATAACTAAATAATTGCTTATGGATCAGTGAAGATAGGGAATAAGTGTTAATGTTCAGTTCCTATTGGGAATATACTCCTTTCAGGTTCAAATCTGTTAATGAATTTGATAGCATGATGCTACAAGAAATAGTAATATGCAGTTGTGACTACATGTATATACATGTAGTATAGGGTTTGATTTATTCAATTGTTGTTTAGCAGAAGATGCAAAGAATAAAAAGAATGGAATACTTTAACTGTCATTTTAGTCCTTACCTGAAATAAAAAAAAAAGACACATGATTAATATAGTTGGACCTAAATAAAATAATTTGTTATTTAAAATGATTGAATATCAAGCAAACTAAATAAAAACCAATTAAATAAAATATCAGTTTTCTAAATTTCGAACTTTTCGGTTACAAAAAAAAATTTTGCGGTTAAAAATGTATTTATGAATAATTAGAATAATAAAACGAGTTATTCGTTAACATACCTTGAATTAACTCCTGAATCTACTTTTTGGTGAATAAACATTAAATAATTGTTGATAAATTCACATTTTTTTAATTAAAAATTCACAAAAACATTCTGCGACCGAGAACATTCGAAAACCGTTAAACAATCTGAATTCCTGGAATACTAACTTAGAAGTTAAGATGAAACTCTACTATACCGACCGAGAGTAAAATATTTTACACCGCCGGAAGAGTTGGTTTCTACTTTACTTTCTTAACCTCCAAAATGAGACATGTGTTAATTTGTAAACATGGGTGAAAAGAATTTTAATTTTATTTTATTAAAAAAACAATTTCTTCGGTGTTGTCCAATCGAACAGATCGTTTTTCCTGAAAAAATAGATATCGAAATACAGAAAAAAATTGTTCATGACATTATTCTAGATAGTGAAGTCCAAAAATATCCAATAAAAATTGTTTATCAACAAGCTTTTTTACGTAAGCTTTTGAAAAAATTAGAAAATGATAATCAAGAAATTTGTGATGAATTATATGATACTTTTGGTAACTTAATATCAATAAATGATGTTTCAATAACTCATTATCGCCATCACCTAATTAATGGCAATAAAAATAATGAAATCGCAAGTGATAGAATTATTATTGAAGAAAATAAACATATTATTTCACAAGGAACAACTGGCTTATGTAGTTGGCAGGTAAACATTTTCTTTATGAATAATTTAAAAAATATGAACATTTAATAATTAATCTAACTACCTCTATCATTTCTAGGCTGCTGAATTATTAGCAGAATGGTGTATAGCAAATAGAAATGAAATTAAAGATAAAAATCTGTTAGAATTAGGTTCTGGAGTTGGACTTACAGGAATAACAGTTATAAAAACATGTTCTCCAAAGAAGTATATATTTTCTGACTGTCATCCGACTGTTTTAACATTGCTTAAAAAAAACGTAGAACTTAATTTACTACCTTCTATGAAAAGAAATAATAAAGAACGATTGTATGAATGTAATACGGACGTTGAAGTAATTGATTTAGCTTGGGAATCAATTGACAAATTGATTGACGAGGAAGTAGAGTGGACTCCACCTCATCTAATACTAGCAGCGGATGTTATATATGATTCTAGTATTTTTTACTCATTAATTAAAGCATTGAAAGTGCTTTTAAATCAAGTCAATAGTTACGCCATCATCGGTATCACTGTCCGAAATGACGCTACGCTATCCACATTCTTAACGCAATTAGGTAACTTCTCATTACTTTTTACTCCGTCAATCGATCATTTAATATTAATTAAATAGTTCCTTGATGATTTCAATACTTGATGTATTATATATTATTGTTTCAGTGGAATCAAACTTAAAATATATTGAAGAAAAACTTCCTAATTATACTACTTTTTTTAAACCAGACATGCCTTTGAAACTTGTAAAAATTTTTAATAACCGGTAAGTTTTTTTATTATCTGTTATAAATTTACATAATAATTTTTATAAAAACAATAGTGCTTTTCAAATAATATTTAAACGTTAATATTAATAAAAAGTAATAATATTAAAAATTATGAGAAGAAATAAACGTAATGTCTGTCGGTAAAAGACATTTAAAACCATTTTCGTTTATTTTGGCGTTTAAGTTTAACTTCAGTCTCGTCTACGTCTTTATCAGCGTCTTTCTTGTGGCTCTTTTTGAAGTGTTTTTCCTTAATTTTTTCTTTTAATTTTATTTTCTTATTTTTTTGCATTGTATTTTGTTCCTCTGCATCACTTTTATTACCGCCTTTGTTTTTAGCTGAAAGAAAAAAAACATTTTATTCAAGTTGCAATTAAAATTTATATAAATTTGGTGATGTATTTTCGTATAAGACTAAAAATGTAAGCACAAATAAATTTTTTGAAGCAATAAAAGCTCAAAACTATTTTAATAAATATATTTACCGGTATATAATTCCATGTGCATATTTATACTTTTATCTTCTTCAACTTCCCTTCGTCGATCCATCTCTAAACACTCAACAATTTCACTTCTCCTTTCAACAACCTCAACCAATCGTTGAATAAGAGCCTCTTCTCGTTGCTTATCAAAGTCTGTTTTTGTAGCCTCAGGTTGGCACATCAAACAACGTATTTGATATTCAATATCTGCATGTTCTTCCTCAAGGCGTTGCTGTCTTTTCAACAACATCAACTCAGCTTGTCGTCTGAATAACTCATTCTTTTCATTTACCAGAGCAAATAACTCTAAAACAAGCTCGTCCGCATCCATACTCAAATTACTTTCATCATCTTGTCCATCTCCCGATTCGCATTTCATCCGAATCAATTGCTCTAAACGTACACCTTGTTTTTCTAATCCTTGTTGCTGCATTTCTATTTCTGATAACTCTCGTTTTACATCTTTCATCGACAACACTTTTATCTTCCGCCTTTGAGGAATTGGTATTGCAGGAGCTGGTGCCTTTTTTCGTTTCCACTTTCCTTGAGCACTTTTATCGTGGAATAAATATTCATGATTTTCTCTGTTGTGAGATAGTGCAGACATTGATTGTTTGCTTTTATTTGCTTCATTTTTACTAATTTTAATATCTTCCCAAGATTCATTATGACTATCATCCATTTTATATACTGACTGATTCATCGAAGATTCAGATAAGCTTAAATTTTCCAAGGCTTCATAGGTTTCCGTTAGAGGTAGTGAAGCATTCAATGCTGTTGGTGGTAGTGGTGCTGGTTTATTCTTCCGTAGCTTTGGTCTACGCATGGGTGAACTCTGAAAAATTATACAAATAAATTATTATGAATATAACTTATATTACAGTCAATGAACAAAAAAGGTTACATTGAAAATTATTCAACGTTTTTACAAATTTATTATTTTAATATAACAATTCAAGTACCCATATTAATTAATACTTAAATGAATATATTAAAATTGTGTTAAGTTGTTGATATAACCAATAAAAAAAAAACAAATCTCACATGAGCGTATGGTTTAGATGTAGAATCCGGAGAAGCTATTACCGAAGAAGAACTTTCATTCGACATTGGTGGAGGTGGTGCAGGTTTTCGTTTCCTATAACGACTGCTATGTGTTGACGTCGACGTAGAACTAGCTAAAGAGCTGCTAGAAGCATAAATTTCATCGCGATTCAAACTGGATTTATTATTGAAGCTTCCCGATTCATTTTCCCTATTTTTCCTGGGCTTAGGAACTGGAGTTTGTTGCGAAATTTTTTCTTTATCCTCTTCTTCACTCTCAGGCTCCTCATCATCGCTCCAAAATGGATTTAAATTGATCCGAGGAGCTTTAAGAAGACGCTTTTGTGGTGAATCAGCCTGAGTAGTTTTACTACCAACATTGATTCGAGCAGCAGGCTTAGGAGGAATCAAATTCTTATTATTTTCATCTTCATCTTCATCGCTACTACTTCCAAATGGATTAGTAGATTTTTTCTTAACATTTATACTTTCTTCTTTATTATCTTTATCTTTAATATCACTTCCATCACCATTATTATCATCATCATCACTCCTAAAAGGGTTTAATTCATCAGGATAATTATCCTCATCTTCTGGAATACTCAAATCAATTCCTTTGGCATTTAAAATATCGATTTCATCTTGAGATTCTTCTTTACTAAGTTTAGTAAGATCATGTGATTTAGAACCCTCGTTAAATGCTGTAGAATTCTCTTCTAATGAGTCTGGCTCTATCAATGTAGACACACCTGGAGAATTCTCTTTATCGCAGTCTTTTTCATCATTTACTACTAAATTCTCAAATAATTTAAGCCTTTTCTGGACAAGTGAAAGACACTGATTGACATCTGTCTCATCACCAGCAACGCCAAGCATTTCTTTGGTATCCTGGCTCTTAAATTCATCCTTACAATCTAGTTTATGTGACGTGGCAGTAAGGCAACGATTGTGAATACTATCTGTGCTATCTTCTACATGTTTATTTACAAATTTGTTCGATTTGTTTTCATTATCAGTGCGCGTTGTCATGGAATGTAATTTTGAAGTCTTTTCGTTAAGAAGACTGACATCTGGGGATGATTTACCATCATTGCATTCATTAGACAAATCAATTGACTCTGTAGAAACTTGAAAATCTTTCTGTTTTTCTTGTAAATTTTCTTCAGCTGACTGCAAATGACTTGACATAAAATTTAACCTCATATGAGCTATCTGTGAACTTTGTTTAGTCACGTCTGGATTCTTTACTTCATTCTGACTCTTTCTTACGCATTTCTCTTCATCGCTTAATGACCTCGTGCATCCTTGGACTTCCTTGACTTCTTGTTCCGCATCAAGAACCAACGAATCATCATAGAATTCAGATCTACTTGGTGGATCTTCATCCGGACAAGTCTCGCAGCAGTATTGCCCTTCTTCAGTCTCATAATAGCTACAAGGTGTCAGTTGATTTTGACATCGGGCACATCTGAAGCACGTTCGATGATAAGTCTTTCGTGAGATCACCAACTTCTCAGCAAGAAATACAGGCATTTCACAGATCACACATGGTTCTTTTCGCATCCCCAGATGTGGTTTCACCTGTGTAAATATAATTATACATTAGTCAATCAATTCATTCAATAAATAAATTTCTAAAATTATTTTTACGTAAAAAATTAAATAATCTTTTCAATGTGTTTCAAATCTTTACATAGAAATTTATACATATGTTGCATAAGTCTTTGCAAATTAGTAGTAAATAAAATAAATATTATTTCAAATAAATGAAATCATGTTTTCCTTCTTGTTCAACATTACATAAGAATCAGTTTTTACCTTTTACGAATGTTCTAATTCCAAATTAATTTCAATTAAAACTATGTATATATCTATATAAGGTTATAAATAAAATATTACAGAGACTTTTGCAACAGTTAGCTATTTTACAAGCTCGTATTCAATCATTTACTCTAACGCTTTCTCCGAAATTGCATTCCCATTACAGTACCTACTTGCGTATTTTTTGGGTCATGAACATTGCATGCTTTCTAGATTCACGCGAAAATCTAGAAGTTTATAATTATAATTATAATAAGCACCCAAGGTAGCATGCTGACATGAATCTAGTGCAACCTGTTAGATGAATAATTTTTTACAACGTTTTTTTTTAATGGCGACTCCAGTGATATTTAGTGGTTTAATGACTCATAAATTAGTAAATGCATGGCGGTCCCACATGCATGTGTAAGTAGACAGGTTTACATTATATATATTATATGTATGTACAAGTACAAAACTCGATGTGAGTTCAATGGCCTGAGATCACCGGCTTTTCTCAGAGTTCAACTGATGACGCACGCTTTTCTTGACTTTTAAGTTTAAGTCTAAAGTAAATTCAATTCCATAGATTATTTACCACAATTTTATCATCAATAGACGATGTTATGCGTGACATTTCACTTGTTGGTAGCAAACTGCGAGTCAGCTAACAACAGACAGCAGTCTAAGCAGTAGTTGAACGATAGAAAATGAAGAAGAAATGATAAAGAAAAATCTTGAAAACGATTGAAAAGACGTGATCTCACTGGCAAGCTGATGAATACTGCGAGAATAATTCCTTATTCAAGCATTCGGGGCGCGTGCGCTTTCGTGCCACACGTTGCTTATAAATAACCAACGTGATAATCTATCGCCTCTTCTTCCTCTCACAGTCGTAGACAATTAAAATCAAACAATGACTACTTTCAGCATCTTCACCATTTTATTACTTCAATATCAAAAGCTGTTAAGTACTAACTATTAATATACTATTGACTCTAATTTTCACTCATTGAGATAATGGTCATCAATTGTTTATACTAAAATTATTTCAACTACCTACATATTAACTCTTCATTTTATATAAAATCATGTAATCATCCTACATGGTTTGTCCTAATATAACTATCAACTAATAATTGTTTATACCAAGCATTTAAAAGGATCCATTTAACAAATTATAGATTGATGACTAGTGAGCGATTTTATTTCAATAATAAAATAGTAAAATGAAATATTTTTATTCAAGAGTTCATAAGTTTAGCTACCAAGTTGTTTTTAATCATCCACCAATAAGATTCTACAATTCTAATGACCTAAGATAACTTGGAGTATTTTTTTCAGGTAAAACCAAGACAAAGTTGGATTATTGATGATGGATTTCATGGAATGAAGATGAATGAAAATTGATGAAATCATTATATAGCTCGAATTAGTGTCTGATTACATGAGATAATTAAAAAACAAGAGGTTTTAAAAGGTTAGGAGGTCGTAAAAAGTAGGCGAGTTATAAAATGTTGACGATTCAACCCACGGACCAATGACCTGAACGTGTATGAACTACCAGTACAAATCAACTCTCTTCCGTCTCGTAATCAAACATTCCAAGGAGGTCCTTGAAACGTGACACCAACTTTTAAAATTTAAATATACATAAAGACACTACTTAAATACAAATATTTTTGGAAATTACACTTGATTCAATGTCAATTTCAATCAGTTCAGAATTTTCTTTCATGTTTACTGTTATTTAATCATGAAAAATTTAACTTATTGACTTAAATGACAAGCATGCAGCGTGCATTATATGAAATAACAGTGAATTGAGCAAACCAAAGTGATATTATAACAATGATTTAACAAATAAATAAATAAATGAAAATAATATTTAGTGAAAGCAAAACAATAAACGACAAAGCAATTACCTTCTAGCAGAATATTTCAGGTTTATATTGCCCCATTAAGTCCAAGCTTTCCTCCTGAAGAACAAAAATAAATCCGTGACGGTATGTGTTAACTTTTAATCATCTTTTTCTTGTATTCTATGATTAGTTGAGAAAATTTAACAAGCATTTTCTAGATAATACAAAATCTATAGTTCTTTAGAGATACTGCTACTGGATATCAAGAAATTCTTCCATAAAAAGCTGCTCATTTATGGATATCTTGTTACCAAAAATAGTAGATTAATTATTGTAATATAATTATTGTTCTCTATTTTTTATAATCAAACATCTCTACAGTTAATAATCATCTAAATCATACAAAAGGCTGATAAATTGTTTGTAATATTTATCTTCAATGGTAATTCAATATTTAAACAACGACTTAATAAAGCATATAGATGAATAATACCATAATTACTCATCCATTGATTACAATATTTGATCAAAATTTATGTTGTATTTAATGATCAAATAAATAAATTATAGTATAAAGAGCAATAAACATAGGAAAATGATATTTTCAAAGTTGATAGTATACAAAGAAAAACTATTTAATTAAAAAAAAAAACAAATTAAAATGATAATTCTATTGAATTAAAGCCTCAGTAAATATTTATTTAATCACAAAAATGATTGAATAACTAATTTACATTAATCCTACCTAAGCAAGCTATGTGATAAATCATTAACATGAGTTATTATTAAGAACAACATTTCAATGAAATCATCATTTATAATAAACTGGCTATTTAATTTTATTATCTATTAAAAGAATAAAAAAAAAATACATATATAAATATATAATTATCAACGTTATAAATGACTAGCTCTAGAAATAAGCTTTATTATGGAAGAGTTGCCAAAAGAAAAAAAAGATATTTCATAATTTTATATATTTAAGTCTGTCATTGAAATGGTTTTAACACGATATGAGGGATTTACGCTGGCATGAACATTCTCATAATCGAGGACAATTGTCATTAGGTACGGAAGTAGGAACATCACGAGAACGAAAGAGAGTGGGAATCTTACGGCATTATGTTCTTCTCGTATACACTAAAAGATAAAAGATAAAAAAGGAAGAAGAAAATGTTACTGACGGCTTTCAGTAAGTACAAGAGAGGGCAATGACGTTACTCTCGTGGAATCGTGAGTCGCAGCATCTCTTATAACTCGTGTACACTTCCTCCAAAGAAACGAAAATTATTATCTGCCTCTAGGCAAGGGTTTGCCTGTAGCTCTCTTGGCTACGTTTCCTTCTCATTACGATATTACGCGCGGGTCTCGTCCATCAGCCAGCTTTTACCACATTATTTTGCTCTCTTTTAACCTTTATTTTACTTTACTACACCAAGAAAATCAAAGTCGAATTGTATTTATATATTTTTGCTAACCAGTCATATTGATTTTACTATCTTTTAGTATGGATAAGAACCGTACAGTGGCAGTAAAAAATTTTTTCTCTCAACTCCTATTAGTCCAGTAGCCATAAGTTTAAATCCTATCTTCAGATGCTTCAATTATAGAATAAGAATAAACATTTTTTTAATCATGAATTCTTGTAGTTGTCAATGACAAGAACATTTGTATAAATTTTTATTACTAGGCAATAATTATTATTATTGTTTATTGAATGTCAAAGTTCTTTTTATAACTGATAATGCTTTTTTTTCTTTTTAAAAAAATAAATCAAATAAACAGGAAGTACAAATTTTACAATATTAATTGAGAAAATATTCTATCATTATTAATCAAATAGTCTTGTTTCATTGAACTTGATAAATAAAATGAATCTCTGGAACTTTTTATTGCTTGTACAGTATCGTAGATTGGATAAGTTATTTATTTTGATTTTTCTCGTTGGAAAAAAAAGTAAGGAAGAGAGCAAGATAAGTAGAGAAATTTCAATGGTTATTTTTTTTTATGTATAAGTAACTTGATTTACACTTGAGTAATTTGCAAAACAATAAAAACAAGCGGTTCATGATTGAATTACAAAAGAAAAAATACGAATAGTAAAAAAAAAACTAAAATGCAAGGAAAAAATGATAAAGCTGACATCGAGAAGCGATGATGATATCTTGAAGATAAATGATAACTGTTTAAATTCTAAGATGTTTTTTAAATGTCAAACTAACTATAACGTACATTGTTTAATTTATCTATTTCTTCAATTGGCAAATGATTGAAAACAATTTATCGTTATAAAAAGAATTGATTTTAAATGTTGAATAATTTTAATAATGAATAATAAATATTTCTTACTTGGAAGTTATGTATTGTATTTCATTAGAAAATAGGAAAACTGATAAATAAATAACTGAATAAATTATGAATTTCATTTATAATCATAAAGCAGAAAAACAATACTTTTTTTCTGTTATTTTGTTACGTAAAAGTGAACGTCTTATTACTCTATTAGATGTTATCTTCATAGAAATGAATAAATATAACAAAAAAATATATATATATATAAATATTTTCAACAGTAGAGTAAAAAATATGAATAGATTATAAATGATTTGACATCGAGATAAATCATTAAATTCCATGTCAATAAATAAATCTCATTTCTGATGAATAATATGGAAGTTGTACCAATGAAGAATAAATAAATTAACAAATATACTCGAAATACTTAGATTAAAATATGGAAACATATTGAAATGAGAAAAAAAAAAAATTGGTCGTTACCTTCGACGTTGGGGACTCTGCAACTGGAGTGATTTGTTGATTGGAGCTTTCTGGAGTTCGACTCCGAGCCACTCGACTTGGTGAAGATCCTAAAAAAAAATGTTTATTTATTAAACCAATTAAAAAGTTAATTAATGAACTTTCCTAACACTTTCATATGTATAAGTTAACTTAAATAAATAATCTAAGATCTTTGGTAGACTCTACTATCCATTCAACATCTATCTTCTCCATCTCTTAAAGTTCTGAATAATTGTAAATGAATGAATTAATTAAGCAATTAATCAGGTAATTTCCAATCAGATATTTAACATAAAATGATAATGTAAAAAGATGTGAAATGAAGGATATTTAAAAAGGGAGAAGAACACGTGAGAGACGTCGAGTTTCTCTGGTAATTGTGCAAGAGTTGGATACTGAAGTGAATTGAAGAAAATGAAAGAAATAATTCACTAAGGCTTGGATAATTATTTTGCACGAGACTAGTTCTTGATAGCAATCATGCGTTTCTTATATACGTTCATACAAGCGACGATAAAACATATTTTGCGCACGAGAAAGTCTCTCAACTCAGACACTTGAATGCGTGACCTATTTAGCTTAGACACGAGTACCATACAGTGTCTTACTGAGTCTTTACTTGAAACTAACAACGACGACAACGACAATAATAATGAAGCTCGTCTCTCTCGTAAGATATATGTACATTGTACACATATTAATCCATGTTGACTGGTTTTCGCGCGCGACTGGTTCGCCATCAAGCTCTAGCTCTTTCACTTTTATCGCCTGGAGATCATGCCTCGGGCTATAACACATTCGATTCAAATGATTCGATGTTGCAAAGCGACTTTAAGCAATCCTTGTGACTTACTTATTGATGGAATTGATCTGAGATATCAATTGCCTTGACAATAATGTATGATATGTATCATTTTGCTACAACTCTCACCTCCAAATTGTTGGTAAAACTGCGAGAGATAGGTCAGAATTGAAAGCCGATCAGGAACTGAACATGAGGCCATGTCCTCGGCATCAAGAAGGGCAGGAATACCTAAATGTTGTTCTGCTGTTCTGAAGGCCAGTTCATTATTCCCATATATATCGTCTTTATTTAAACTGCTAAAGTCTCTGAAAATTAAAAAGAAACAGTTTTATTTAATTTATTATTCCAGTTTATTATCACTTCTTTTATAAAAAATCTTACATTAATCTTCACTTTTTCAACACTTCGCATTCTAGTATTATTTGAAATTTATTTTTATTTCTTGAAGCAAATCAGTGATTTTAATCTTTTTTATAAGTTTTATTTTTAGTCTTTTCAAAATTCTTTTATTACTCGGTTCGTATTTATTTATGACTCTTTAAATTATTCATTATAAAGAAATATAATGATTTGAGAATATTTATTACTATGTGGATTGCTTTTTAGCTGATAATAAAATTTTGTCATTCACAAATTTGTATTCGATGCATATTTATCATGTTAAACTTTCAATTTATTAATTTTTATCTAAATCTAATTCTCTTTTAAACATTCCATATAACTGAATATTAATTAACACCTGGATGCTAGTATTTTTTTTGAACAAGCTTGTTTAATATTTAATTAATTTATTCATTGAAATCTACAATTAAATAGATACTTTAATCCTTGGAGGTTTAACTTTAATAGCTATCAACAAAATGTAATGACCTAAAAAAATAGGCCAAGAATACTTATTTTGATTAAATGGAATCTAATAAAAATTAAAAAAAAAGAGTTAACTTCATTGTTTGTATATTAATAAAAAAAAACTAATAAAATCATAAAAGATGAAAAAATAATTAAACAAATTACAAACTACATATTTGATGAATAAGATAATTAGTGAAACTGTTTTTAATTAAAAAAGAAATATTACTAACCATTTGTAACATGAAAAAAGCATTTATTAGTTTTAATTAAGGTAGTAACATTGAAAAATTTTGTTATTTGATTTTTTATCAAGCATTTTACCTTCCATGAGTCAGTGGTTATTTTTAATCTATCAAAGGTCAAGCTTGAGCCTTGTATTACCATTTTCAGTCGTTATAAAAATGATTTTTTCCTTTTATTTTCGACCAAACTTGAATTATATTATAAGTATTAAAGAATGATTGCGCTGCTACGCGTAATGAAATATAATATTTATCAAGTAATCGTGACACTTGATACTATTGAGTGAAGGAAGTCGCGAGAAAACATGATCAGGCACATTGGCCAAAGTGATTCTTCACTCTTGTATCTTGTTACACACCTGTGCTGATATAATTCTTTGTACTCAGCTGACCAAAAATGGTAGTGAGTTGAGCAAACAAGCAAATCATTCAAGAGTTTAACAGTTAATCGAGATCGACACGTGTCAAATGAAACTCATTTTACCACTCACATGAGATCTGGTCGAAAGTGATGTATCATCGCGCAAAAAGCAAGACCATCACGCCATGAGGTCGTCATGTTTTGAACGTTAACTCCAGGATAACCTTCAGTAATTCGCCTGCACCAAAGCTCCAGGGCTTTTGGACCTCGTCTTTCTGACATCTTGATTCTTTTTATTTCTCTAAAACAATCCTTGAATCTTCCTTAATAATCCGGGATCTCTCAGCTCTTCTGAAACAAAAGGGGATTTTATTTTTAATGAGAAAAAAAAGAGCTCCGTAACTGACAGCTTGAGTGAATATAAAAAAAAAAACTGATTTGTTATAACCAATTTTAAATTCAAATTAATTTTTTGAAAATATCTTTTTGACATAAATAAAATATTGAAAAATAATACTAATAAATAAGTAATATATTTTTTTTACAACTGGATTAGCTTTTGAGATAATTATATTGCTAATAAATAAATGTTTTGTTTAAAATAGATTAACAAAACGATCAAGTAGTTTGAAAAAAATTAAATTAAAAGCTGTAACATAATATTTTATTTTTCACTATTTTTAAATAAATAAATAATAAAAATATTCATTCATTAAAAAAATCATGATTGAAAAACAGTCATCAATCATTCGAATAATTTTATAATGACAGACATTATAAAAAATAAAATTGTCGTTTCTAAGAAGGAAATTCATATCACGTTCATGTTAATGTTTGAAATAAACTTTTTTTTATTTTATCAATCATTTTCTACTCATTTCTGCAAATAAATGTTATAATTAAAATGCAAATTGGAGAAAAAAATTAATGGCGACACAGGAAAAAAAGCATTTGATGAATAAAACTATTTAGAAATTGAGGATGTTGCTGTCATGTCAAGTATCGATGTTTTTTTTTTCCTAACATTTTCATTGAACAAAAGAATAGTAAAACGTGTAGGTGCTTGTTCTAGCATCTCTTTGAAATTGTACACACCCAATAGCTCGTTAATGCGACCAAGAGTCCTCGTTTGCTGTACAGTTAAGCGCGACTTCCGGTCGAACCGGTGTTTTGCCTCAACGGAATCGCGTGATAAAAAGTATACGATAGACTTTTAGAAAAATATATAGCTTCATTTTGTTTTTGTATATACATATCCATTGGACTACATTACTCGGTCACGTAAATTGAACGGAAATTGTCTTTCTAGAGGTGTCGTTAAGCCGTTAATCTCACCACAATTTCAAATTACATCTAATAAAAAAGACAATAGTCATTTTCTAAAAGACAAGAAAATAAATCCGTAACAATCAATTATTCCTGTTTTTCTGCACACTCAGACATTACTTGGCCTAGAACTTGAGTGTTCGACTTTTTAATTCAATTACTTCCAACAACTTTTCAAGCCTCGTCAATCTTTTATCAAGCCCATGACTAATAGTTACTCCTTTTTCATTCTCCATAAACGATAACAAGTGCAATTAAAAACGATTTAAGGATAAGCAATCATTTTTTCCATGTTCATCAAGTCAACTGAGATTGGAAATTTGTTTATCAGAAAGCAATACCTTGTTATTCAGTCTAAGCTGTAGTTATTCATTCAAGTTAACAAAAGATAGTATCTATGTTTATCAAAAAGCAGATAGACAGACAAAATAAATCCAACAAAATGGAGTCCACTTGTTTACAAATAACTTCTTTTGACCCAATTTCTTGTCACATCACCAACCTAAACATTAGCAAGATGTCTTTTTGAAGGTAATCATACACTTTCACGGTCACTTGGTATCTTGATCAATTAAAAATCAGAAAAATAAATAAATCTTTATGACTAAACAAAATAGTAGAAGTAATTTTAGAACTTTAAATGGTAAAAAACAATAAACTGCTTCAAATAATCGTTAATAGAAAATTTTCTTGTCTTCAGATCAACTTCTTGTATGTTTTTTTTATAATCTACACAAAAAAAACGAACAATTTGAAATGAGAAATAATTAAAATTCAATTAAAATGATATTCCGTTTTTGAAATGATCATTTTCAAAAAGCTACTTACTTGTTGAAATAAAAAAAAATATTTCAATTATATTCATAATATGAATAAAATTTTCTAATAAAACAATCATTGAAATTGCAATAAATTATCATGAAATGCTCGTGAAAGCAATTTAAACACTGAACCAACTCAATTCTAAAAATAACATTGGGTTAGTGATAAGTGTAACTTTTAGCAGCAGAACAAGGTTAAATGTTTCTGTTCGTTCTACATTCAATTGTTTCTGGAAATAGATATAGAAACACAATGAATAATTATAAAGATAAATTACATCCTACTAGAAAATAATTTAATAACATACTTCAGATTGAACAAAAAAAAAAGTCTTGAAAAAATTAGTGAGAAAATAGTAGCATAACATGTATCCTGTTTAATAAGTTCCAAGACTTGGTTGCATTGTAGCTGTTAAATATTAGTTCTTATTGGAGCAGACTATATATTTTAAAATTTCTTCTCAGAAACCATAACAAACTAGTTTCGTAGTCAGATGAGTCTGCAGGTCAGTATTCAAGTCTGTTGGAGTCTAATCACAGGCCCAATCTTTTTTTTTCCGTCGAGGTTCCACGGAACGTTGCATTGGAGGGATCAGGGACAGCTGGTTGCGTTAGCAGGAGAGACTACCTGTTTGAGCTTGCACCGCTCGTGCCTCTTTCAATCTCTCCTCTCTTCAACAAGAGACTCCACTTTGAACATAAAAGATTCTAACAATAGGTATGCATCCCATTCTCAAACTTGAACCTCGAATTCATTTCTACCAACTAGGGAGCTAAATTGAACTGAAGATTTTTTTATAAGTCTTTCAATAGTTTTGCCGAAGAGAGATATACTCTATCAACTTTATTTTTAGGAATTCTATGGCATCTTAATTTTTTATCACTTGTTACCGTTAACGTTAGTCTAGAAATTGGTTCTCAAAGTTAAAAATTCTCAACGACCTTCAATTTATTTAATTTTAAAGAATTTTGTATTTCTGAAAGAAAAAAGAAATTCATTTATAATATTTTTAATCTTTAAATAAAATTTTATGATTATTAACTTGTTAATCCTTCAATAAAATTTTTGATGTCATGATAAGTAATAAAAATAAATTAAATTATTATTTATGATAAAAGTTTTTTCAAGTATCATTATCATCATAATAATTAATTAGCATGTAATGGATATCAACTCTTGAAATGAGATAGAACTTTTGAGTATTAATGTATTACACAGGATAAAGTGTAAATTAAAGTAACAACAAGTTCCATCAATGTAATCTACTAAGTAGATGAAAAGTTTTGTTCTCTTTAGTGAATCTAATTATTGGTACTCTCATACAATTGATAATGAAAAGATATCTGCACATTAACAATCAGTAATCTGCTGTATAATCGTGCATAAAATAATTCACCATAAATGGTATTAAACATGACTCTGAGCAGAGAACATTAGCATATCTATCAAAATTTTTTAAAAACAAATCTCCAATGATAGCTAAAGATTTATTATGAGTTAAAAACAATTTCATTGTACTGAACTATCAATACAATTACTATTTTTACTAGAACAATGACTACTAATAATTGTTATTTAACATTGAAAATAAATATTTCATGCTTCAGTGAATTTAAAGTAAAATGTACCTGAATTATATCCATAATCATACCTTCTTAAAAAAATTACTAGATCATTAATAACAGTTAAACAGAATCAAATAAAAAAATGAAGAGCATTAACTTTTGTTCTAATATGTAATTATCAAACAAATTCACATCCTGTAGTCAACTCTAAAAATGGTTATGTTTATATTTCCAACAATTAAGTGAATAAGTATTTTTAAAAAATTTCCAGATAACAGTGTTGAAAGTTGATGCTTTCATTCACTTCTTACAGTTACAATGATTATTTTAGTACATATGGATATGATTGTTTTCAAAATCTTCACACGAGTGTCTCGTGTATATAATAGTTTGAAAAAGATAGGAAGGAAGAGACGACAGAAAGAGAAAGAGATACACGCAAGTGTGCGAGAGTACACCGTGGGAACGTATGCCGGTAGAACAGGTAAGTGTATATAGTAGCAAAAGACGCTGCTGTTTCACGTCGCGATGTTCATGCAACGTGATTAAAATCATGCACGACGTGTATTTACGGATGCACGCGATCACCTGGAAAAGGTTAGTTATAGAACCAATGTATAAAGCAAATTACTTAGTACATAATTTACGCATTACCTTACGTCACTCGCATGATTTTTTATTCAATCTTTCTCCAAACATATCGCCTTAATTCTGATTTACACGTGTCACTACTTCCTTACGCCAATCTCTATGACAACGGACTTTCCAACAAAATTTATTGATCACTCTCCTTCTATCTAACCTATTACACGTTTGCGTGCTTCGAAAAAATATAGCTATATTTAACTTAACTTTACTACTCGCGTGCGAATCAACAACTGAATCCCACCAAGAAGTGTTCGGTGTTTTACAGCTACCTTTTTGACCCTCTCTCTCTTTCTTTCTACCACACCGCAGTTGCCATATTTTTCCCTCTCCTTCTTGGATGCGCGCGCACTATATAGCTGGCGCTAAAACCTGAACTCAATTTGAATTTGTCATCAACTCTCAACTGAACAGCTGTAAAATTTCATATTAATAAACAATTAATTTTATTAGAAAACTAATCAATAAAAAATATTTTTAATTAGATTATTGAAGATAATAATACTATTAAAAATTCACAATCAATCAACATGATCAAAAACAATTTTTTTTTAATTTAAAAAATCAAAATATTTTGATTGAAAATTAAAAAATAAATAAAAACTTGAATATTTAACGGGGAGTAATGAAAAATATAAAAACTCGATAAACACATAGATAAATGCGCGCGCACGGTTAATTTTGGCGCGTAAATTAAAAATGTATGTTTTTTAGAGAAATGAAATGAAATAATATTTTTTTTCTTTTTAAAAAAAAATAATAGAGACACTATAAATACAGGTAATAAAAATTGAATTGAGTGGTCATAGGTTAATGGAAAAAAGTAGGTAAAAACGGGGAAAGAGGCCAATAAACCCAGGTATTCATTTCTAAGGTGCGGCGCACGTTCTACCACATATTTACTGACATACATACACAATATACATAACTGATCATCGATCAATAAACCCCCAGGATGTGCTGAAGACTGCACAGCTCGTGCGCCGAGTACGACGCTCACTTTCTGGGGCTCGGCCACGGGCAGTTTGTATTTTGTGTGCGATTCAGGGTTCGCCGCGCACGCGATGTTTCGGCGCTGCTAGCGACGTAGATGACCGAAAATATCCGAATGGTGACGAACGTTGATACCACGACGCTTCTCTTAGGCGCCTGTCTCTCTCCCTGTAGCCAAAACGCGCCGACATGTCTCCGGAGTCAGCCTCTTTCATAAAATCACCGTGATAATTTTTATCTTACGAATAAACGTATTAAACTTATCAGTAACTAATTAATTATTATCACAAAATGAAATATCGGGCATCAGAATGTATTAATCTCGAACTCGGTTAAATAGATTTATAGTAACAATGTAGATTTTTAAGTAAAAAAACGAGGGTAAAACTGACCCAGAGGCCACATCGAGATGATATAAAAGGGAGAAATAGGAGATAAAAATAATCTTGAAAGAATCGTTTCTCATTTATTTCGACGACTTTTGAATATTTTTTTATGGGTGTCATGTGCTGATTTAAAATCAGAGTTACACAGTGATCAAGAGTTAATAAAACGACGTAGAAGCCTGATGCAGGGACTAAAGCATCGTGAAATAAATTATACTTGGGTATTATTGCTTCTCTTATAGTTTGGATATATAACAAATATACAATTGACTACGGAAGAGCTACCTCAATGGCCTGATCGACCACTCGTGCGTTCATGAAGCTCGGCTGTTTTGATTCGTCGAGTGAGTATGGAACAAATTATTCTTTTCCTTTATTTTTTATTTTTACTATTTTCTTTCCGCTTTTATCTTTTTTGACAACGTGTATCGTATTGTTACTACACGAATGACTGACGATTTTATAGCTCTTATGATGTGTAGCTTCCGTTCTTTTGTCTTTTCTCTACTCTTTGTTTCAGTTGTTTCCGCTGTCTCTGTCAATCCTTTGTTCCTAGGAGTCATCACTAGAAAATCGAGTGCGTGTCAGGGGCTTTTCCCTCATAAGATTTATGTGAATCTTGTATGTTTTTGTAAAGAAAGGGAGCTGAGAAACTGACTGATTGCCAAGGGCTATTTGAGCTTGAGCTCAAAAAACATCTAAGATGATTGAGTGATAGAAAAGAAAGGGGAGAAAAAACCACGATATTCTCATTTTTTATTTTTTTATTTTTATCATCATCTAATGGGTTTTTAGTTTATGATTTGTCGTTAGATACTGATCATATGTTGAATGTCCTTTGCTTCATCGCGATAGTAGTGACACCCTCGAGAATGTTGTGTCATGACCATTCAGAAAATTTTGCATTCATACATTTTGATGATGATCATAATCATAACAGAAAAGCATTGGATAGAATCATAATAAAAAAAAAACGATATATCAACACACTTCTATGGATTACAAATTTGCAGATTTTTCATTTCAACCGTTGAGTAATTAGAAAAGTTTCAACAAAAGTTTTGGTTAGAAAGTTTTTTCATTAATTTTATTCCTGATAACAATAATACATAATTATAATGATTAAAATTGTGCTATCAACTTTTCTTCATCATCTTTACAATTTACCTTAAAATAGTTATTCTTTTACTCTGACATAAACGTTTCTAGTTAATAACTTTTATTATCAGTGATATCATATTACATCATTGAAGGTATTTATCTTGATTTTGGTATTGTATTTCAGTTGATAGTTGAATACAGTCAGTGAAAATATTCAACAGATTAGTGAAGTCACTGTTAGAGAGAAAAAATAGAGTGAATTAGCAATAAGTTAGAAAAGAAGTAATTAAGTACTCGAAAAGAAATAGTAGAAGCAGGAGTGTCATCGTGTTCAGGTGTAACGGAGCGTCGTGGGAATAGAGAAGAAAAGAAAAAAAAGAGCGGCAGTGTTATCTTGAAGTACGTTACAATATTTCAAGAGTTAGCATATAGTATAGCTAAGTAGTTGCTCACGTCACGTTTTGCCTTTAAACTTGATGATAATCTCCAAGACCTTGGTAGTGATTTCGTGTCTTCGAAACTTTGTTCTCCTGAGAATAGAATATAGAATACAAATTTATATAAGTCTTCTACTAAATTTCCTTTATTCAACCTGAAATCAGTTGGAGAATTACTTAGATCTCTAGATCTTGAAATAAATCATAAATACGTCAATATAAAGAAACATCAGTGAAGTTAAACAAGAAATGACGTCTGGTCATATACAAGTTTTGACTTAGTTCTCTAGAGAATGTTATAGAATAATTTTCAACTTCTTAAAAGCAGTTTGTATTCTTAGACTATGCAAACTGACAGTAGAGTGCATTTTGTCTTACCACTCTGTTTCTCAAATAGCTCTGCATACTCATAATCCCTAAGCAAATCATCATTTTAGGACCTCCAAGTGTCATTGAGAATTGTCTGCAATGTGACCTTCTGAATAGAAACATAACGTTTTATTTAGTTAGTCAAGATACACAATTAATTGTGCTTTTCTCGTGTTGTATAACCATTTTATCTTATTATTATGGTAGAAATTTTACAACTGTCACTCTTATCATTCAACTAATTAAACATTTCTGCAAAATATGAATTTATAGTTGTGCTTATAGCTGTAATAATTCATGTTAATTCGCTATTTAAAAAAAAATGCCACAATTCGAGTCGTTGTGTTATGTTTTGTTTATAAATAAATATTTTTCTGCGTGAATTAGAAAATTTATTCTGCATTAATGGATTTATTTTCTTTAATGCAATTACATTGCTTCACGTTATATCAAAATTGAGTTATTTTGAGTGACATAAATAGTTGATTTCTGTTTATGAAATTATAACTGAATTACATTTGAATGGTACTGAGTTGATAGAATTTATTTAAAACAATCAAATTTATTAAAATTCTATAACACTAAAGAAAATATGAATATTTGATGGAATTATTATTTTGTTGATTGTTAATAAATGTTTGTTTTATCCAGTTTATTTATTTGTTTGTTTTTTTTTTTTTTAGTTGCCAAAAAAATGTGTGGTTCTAAAAGATAGAATAGAAATCAACAACTGAACAGAAATATATCGAAATATTTTGGTAAAAAAATGATTGGTCTTGTGAATACTTATGAAGTGTTGAAGTTCAATTCACATTCTTATTTTGTAGTAAATTTACTCTGAAAGTAAAAATTATCCTTTTCATAGCCAGTTTCATATTTTATAGAAAAACTTTTATCCTGGCACTCGATCAAACGAATTTACTTGATATCGTTTATATATAAATGTATCATTTCTTTTTAATAAAAGCTCCTAACTTTCATACCACTCTTACACAATCTGTAATTTATAAAAAAAAATATATGGCTTTTATTATTGTTATTAAAAAAAATTTTAAGTAAAGTAATGTTATAATAATTTTATATAAAATATTTCAAGTAATTGGAAGTTAGTAAATTACTCCATTAAATAACAAACAATTTAATACCACTAAAATAAGCTGGTTGTTCTTACTAACTGAATTAGTAAATTTTAAACGATTCACTAATATCTTGATGGCTTTACAAACTACCAAAAAATTAATGAAATTCCATCTAATTTACTTTGAGAAAGTAAATTTATTAGGTTTCTAACGAAAGAAATGATTTGTTAGGTATTGATAAATTTGATCCTATTAAAATAAATTCTACTATTAGTAAATTTCATTATTTTTTCGATAATTTACATTTTTTTACCTTCATCATTTTCAAACTATTTTTTATATAATTGTGTTTGCTCATTCTTTCAAAATACATTACGTCAATTCCAGCTTGATTGCTTTTTCTTAACTTTTTAATCAAAGGTATTTTAAATTACCTTCGAATTATTTTTAGCCCTATTTATGTTTAAAATAATGAAAATAAAAATAATAATAAATGGAAATAATTATAGAGGTATTTTTGTCATATATATGGAAATACCAAAATTATTTACGCTTGGTTTTCGTTATGCTTTTATATTTATAAACTGTACAGAGTAAAACACAGAGAATTAAGAAAGCACAATGTGAGTATAGGAGTGTAAGCCTTTAAAATTTATTCTACTCTACACAACATTTACTAAATAAATGTTGTTGGTTTTGTATTAAGAGTAGCCTAACTTATTTTTAGTTGAGTTGGGTGAAAAATAATAATAGTGCATTGTAAATTTTCATTTAAACTCTACGAATACATTTCGTACATAGAATATTTCAATATTTTATCACGTTATTTTCTAGTCATTGTAATAAAAGTCTAGATATATTCCCTCATTCTACATAAAGTTCAAATAAATTATACTTATGTTCACTACTGAATTTATGATTTATAATACAGGCCAACGATGAAAAAACTTTTTCAATAATTTGGTGAGCTAATTTCGAAAAAAATAATGAAAAAGTCGTATCACTCACCAATTTTTCACATTTTAATATTAAATAAAAATTAAATTTTATCAATTAAAATGTATAACAAATATTTTCAACACTTTAAGGGAGGAAAAGTACAAAAAATAAGCATCTAATATCTAGTAATTTTAGTAATCTAATATTTTTGTACGTAAAATTGTGACCTAGTAAACAACTCAATTGTTTGAGTATAGAATTGATGTCATATTGTAAGAGAATTATAAAACTACTAATAATGATTTGTTTGAATTTTTAAATTAATTTTAGTATCAAAAATTGAATATTCATAGTTTGTAAATTAAACTTATTAATATTAGTCTAGTTTTATATAATTTATTTCTTAATCAAAATACACCATAGATTTTGCAAAATTAGTATAAAGTATTAATGCAACTTTATTCAAACAATAGTTAATACATACTTACATTATTTATTTATACAATTAGTATTTACATTTTTATCGATGAATAAGAAGTTTTCACTTTAAAAAATAAAAAACTGATAAAAAATACAATTTCAGTACCCAACAATACATAAAATTAAGTTAAATTAGTTTAAAAAAATTCTAAAAACATTTTTTCTTATTGATCTGTGTAATCTTAAAGAATAATGTATTGCAATATCGGTGAAATATTTTGAATATTTGATTACCACAACTATAGATGCATAGCAGAATTGTCTATAAATATTAGAAAATCTTTTTAATAATTAAACGATCTTAGAATGTTATTAATAATTTAAGAGTACTCGAGCTTTAAGTATTCAAAGTATTCTTAACTTTTTTTTTCCAAGTAATAATTAAATGGCTAACAGTTTCTTTAACACTCTCATGTCTTATGAATTATATGTAAGCTTTAATGAAATTTCAGCTGGCTATTAGTTATGTAGAATCAGTTTTACATCAGTATATACTTATATTAAACAATGAGTAGAATCCTTGAAGAATTGAGGAATAGTCAACGAAGTTGGTCAACGTAACTCAGACCTCAGACCTAGTCTTTCATTCCATTCTCAATTCAATAACGAGTCAAGTATGTCCATAGATAACAGACATACCTCTGTGGGAATTCCTCCAGATGGGATATACATCCGTGTCTAGAAGCAGTCGATGCTACTACGGTTTAATTGCTCGAGTTTGAACGTCCGATATTCCCAATGCCTGGATATCTTTGTTCACCAATAACAGCTATTGAAATTTATTCTTACCTGTAAAAATGGCTATTGTATATTTCAGTATACAATACACTCTTTTTCTGTGATAATTATTATTTTAATGGTTCGTTGGGGTTCTTTGTATTCTGGCATTGATACTCTAGCTATTTTTTGAGACAATACAATAGAAAAGTTATTAATAAGAATTATAAATTCAGCATTTTTTTAAATTTATTGATAAATTGGTATATATTGTCCTCTATTATCCTCTTAACATTAAAGAGAAAGAAAATGATCTTATTGAAGAAATATTCTACTTCTGAAATTTTATAAAATAAATTTTTTTATAAAAAAAAAACATGTTTATTTAATCAATAACAAAAATTTGAAATATTCGTCATAAAATATTTTATTGAATTGAAAGACATGTGTTTTGATATTTCGTTCAAGTTTGAAGAAGTTCAAGTGTTTTTATGGTCAAATTGGAAATTAAGTTAATTCAATAAAATTTCGAAGAAATATTCATTAGTACGATTGAAAAAAGTGTGCTAATTTTGGAAAATATTACTTTTCCACAATTAATTTCTTATCAGTCTAGTGATAACATTTTTATTGTCACCAACAATAAGTATAAATTATAAATATTGTAATTTTATTATTCATTAGGAGGGTATTTCGAAAGATAATGATTGTTTTAATTAAAATATTCAATTAGTATGAAATTATTTATGCTACAGCTTTAATTTAATTAGAATAATTTTATATTACTTTTGATTATTGATGTTTGCTTTCATGTCTTCAGGTATCAAAAGAAATAAAAAAAATAAGTCGATTTATTGATTTCTACAAAAGAAGAATAAATAATAGAAATAAATCAGATTTTAATTCCAAAGCTGAAAAATAAATTATAGTTACAAAATGAGAAAGATATTTTTTCCTAGAATTTTGAAATTCATGTTACTGATAGAGGTTTTTTTTTATAAAGAAAGTTTTGATTGTATAAAAGAAAAAGGATAATTTTTTTTTTTTTCGTATAATTCCAATTAAAGTTTTGATTATTCTCATCAAGTCAATTATCACTAAAGTGTCTATTTTGGTTGTTTTTTAGAGTTCAGTACGTTTTAGTTTCGCATATTTAGTGGTTGACTTACTAAGTTCATTTCAAATGGTTTATTCATAGAATTATTATGTATTCTCTATTTCGAATTGTGAATAATTGAGGTCAAATTCTCGACTACTAATTCAAACTATTTAAAAAAATATACTTTGAATAAATAGCAAATTTGATCGAAAGATTTTTCATTTTTTTTTTTTTTAATAAACTTCAAATCCCACACAATTCTGAATATTCTTTAATTTTAATTCATTCGAATTATTGATTAATTATCTGTCTCATTTTATCTAATAATTGTATACGGTGAAAAAAACACTATTAATTATTGAAAAGCAACAAAATAACCGTATTTATAAATAATATAACAAACTTCTAGAGCTTTCAAGTATTTACATGCACTTCTTTTAATGAATATTCCAACAAATTCTCGTAATATTTATTCAGTAATTCACATAAAGAAACTTCAACAATCTGAAGACCATTACACGAAACTTGATCAAAAAAATACATCTAGAGTGGTAATATATTTAATAAAATATTTTAATATTTTTACTCCAATCGTGAGTATTTTTTTTTATGTCTACTTTGAGTCGCACCAATTATTTTGGTAATCCAATTAACAATTGCGTTGTTTAGGGAAATAAAATAAATGAGTCCATAAATAAAAAAAAAAATGATAACAATAGACAAATATTATCCTAAATAACATTTATGAATTGTTCACTAATGTAATTAAGTAAATTAAATATTAATCCGATTATTTCAATAAAAATGTTATCACTCTCCTTATGACTATTTATTTAGAAGAAAATTTTTTGTTTGTACATCCATTGTCCTTTCTCTTGTGTCAGTCAGTATTGGAGTAATCATTTTTTTCTTTAATATAAAACTTTCTCCTATGTAGTGAGAGACAAATTCCTGATTTCCCCTCATTCAATTATCTAAAGAAGGGCGGAAGAGATAATAAATTTTTATTATCTCAGCTGTTTTGTTAGTCGTTCCTGTGCTTTTATTTCTTGTGCATGCCTGTGTACTACGTAGACCACTTTGACAATTGTATTTCGAGATAATATCAGAGAAAATAAATTAAAAAGAAAATCTGTTAAAAAAATGTGTTACAGTGGACGTGCGGGGGTGACTGGTGTGATGGGATGGGGCCAGAGCCCCATGGAGTTCGGGTAGACCCGTCTCCGGCCCAGCTCCCCAGCCCCCTCCGCCATCGTAATCGCCACCACTCGTGCAAGCGTCGAAGAGGGCCACCTCGTACGCGATGGAGGTCCGTAACACCCATCAACGGAAAGAAAACGTGCCTCGCGTCCACAGACCTTGCGCCTTCGACAAGGTAATGTTCATTTTTTAATTACCTCAAATTTAATTTCATTTTTTCTAATTTAAATTGTAAATAAACAAATCGATAGGTAAACAAATAATTGAAACTAAAAAATTTATTTTGCAAAAAATTTGTTGGTCATTCAAATTTATTCATTTTATAGATATTTTGGTAATTATGCAGATTAACCTACATCTCTCTGATGACCTTGAATTTTAGTATGTTATAGAAAAAATTATGTCTAAAATGAAAATAATTATATAAAAATTGATATATGTAGGTACAGATGTAAATGCGGTAAAAGGTAATTGAGAATTAACTTCACTTAGTATATGATTAGAATTGTTAAAAAGTTTGTTAAATATTGATGATATGTTATTGGTATGATCTCATATGATTTGAAGCAATTGAATATTGTTTATAATAATTTCAATTTATTATAAAACAATTGGTTTAATAATCAATAATGATATGAGAAAATAACGAAGATTATTAAATACATGGAATATAGAGAAATGAGGTTTTCAGAAAATTGTAACAAAAAAAATGATTATAAATGGTCAATGGGCACAAAGTGCATTCAGACCTATTTATATATTAAATATCGTATATAATAATATTAAATTATTAAATAAATATGAGAAAAAAATGGAAGTAAATGGATGCAAACTAAGCATTGTTTGAACACGTGCATTTTACAATACACACAATTGCATTGTGTGGTTAGCATGAATGTATATCGTGTTAATTAATTATAAACATCATAATTGCTTATTGTGACATATTATAATAAGATACATTAGTTGATACAGCATCTTGATGTTTAATTTAATCATTTTTCGTGATATCTATTTATTACTCTTATTTCTTCATGAATACACTTGTACAAAACTCAGTACAGATGCCATTCAATCAATTTTTTATTAAATATTTTTAATATTCCCATGATAATTGGTGAAGTTGATGAATATAGATTTTGAATAATAAAATACATTTACAAACCATTTCAACTTGATTAATTTCTTCCCAGATGTTAATTTGAGAATGAAAATAACATTTTATCCGAAATGAAAGTAGAGCTAAATTTTTTGGATTTAATCAAGGGACACCTCGACAAACGAGGATAGAATGCGACAGCAAGATAAAATACTGAAAAATTTTTAACTATTTAAAATGAGAAAAAAATTACTTTTTTTTTTTTAAAAAACCTTTTCCATTATTAAAATCGTGTATTAATGATATATTTAGTTATATCTATTACTACTCAATTATATTTCAATTACAAAGGCAAATTAAGAATTTTCCCAATTTTAAAATTAAATTCCAATGCACATTCAAGAACATCACTAGACACTTTTTGATAGATTTAATTAAAAAAATTCATTTTACTATAAAAGATTTTTTTTCTGTTTGTTTAAAATGATTAAAAAGACTCTTTTACATCATCACATTCCAATGATGACACTTTTAGTTCAATTTTTCACTTACGAATATTTTAAAATTAAAAATAGAATTTTTTAGAAAAATTAGTTCACTAAGTATTGAAGTATTATAACACATTTTGTTGCTATCATCCACTTTGATTATCATTTTCTTTTATTTATTATTCAAAAAACATATAAAATATCTCAACTATTAATCAATGTCATGAGGGAGTGAAAAGAATTTCAATAATAAAATAAACAATAAAGTACCATTTATATTGAGTGCAATTCTTTTTTTTTGTCATCATCAAATTTTTTATAGTTATTCTTTAATTAATTTACAGTGACTGATTTTTTATTTTTTTATTTTATTCTTGAACTGAGTATTTATTTTAATATTAATAAAAAAATTTATAATTTATTTTATTGAATTAACCTGCAAACATGATACATTTTCATTTTTAATTAAATAAAAATCAAGTAAAAGTTAATGATGTTAAATTGATTAGTTTAGAGTTGAAAATTAAATAACAAAATTTATAGCTTTTTTTTTGTCTAAATTACATTGCCATTAATTAAAATTCTCAAAGCAGTTATTACTAGGATATTTACTGGGTACAAACATTACGATAAAATCAAAGGATTCAATTTATCAGCAATTATCTTTTCTGTTTTTTTTTACAAAATTTCTGAGAGAAATAAATCTGATTCACAGACCATTTTCTATCCAATTTATAAAGTTTACACTACATTTACCAATAACAATGGACGTCATGTTTAATAGTTACAAGTAATTAAACACTTCATTTATCATAGACATTTAAAAAAGGGAAATCTAATTTAATACAATATTCAGATCTAATCACTCTTATAAATGTCTTTGATTAATCATATGACATCAAACAGCCTTCAAATATATCAACTATCTAAATCAGGATTCCAACATCTGGGATTTCAAAGTCAAAACAATTTACAGTTGATAAAAACCATCCAATCAATCAGGTGCTAAAATCAAAATATTCAGCTCACATTGATTCCTACATTGTAAGGTCATACTGGCATCTCGTGAGACTATAAAATTAATTGATACATACTGCGGTTGGTACAAGGTTGAATTTAATTGTAAAATATCGGAATATTATGAGTCAATTAAATCATTGGAAAAGCTGAACAACAATGTGGGCTCGGTTAATCGAGTAATCAAATTATAAGTTTTTTGTTCAAAATGAAAATACAACAGGTCCATTAGAAAATTCTATCGTTGAAAATTGTGTGAACACAGTCTAATAAAAAATTAATTGAACAAATATTTACTAAAATAAAATACATTCGATTAAATAATGATATCTATTGGATGATAAGTAAATTATTAATGATCATCTCCATGAGATGATTTAAAAAAAAAAAACAAAACAGTTATCAAGATAATGTTGGTCTAATATTTTCTGTTGTGTTTTCTAGATGGAGGAGCTGGTGCAAAAAATGCAAAGCAAGGATGGTGTTCACGTGGGCTGCCAAAAACAATTCCTCACATCAATCCCCTCGGCGTTTACGGGTAGGAATCATCATAATTGGACTGGATCAAAAATTACTTCCTCTATTAGAGTATCTTTCAAGTGCTGGTACATGACTAAAGACTTTTTCTTTCAGGTTGCGAGCTCATAGCGTGGTTAATAGAACGGTTCACGATGGAGCACACAGGTAGAAAATGGTTTTCCTTTCAATACTTTAGTATTATTCATTTTTTATTGAATTATATCTATATTTTTACTCTTCTTTGTTACAGAGGCGCTCTATCTGGCCAATCAAATCTGCCAATATGGCTACTTCTTTCCAGTAAATGATTCTAAGAATCTCACTGTTAAGGATGATAGTTCACTGTATAGGTTCCAGGTAAATTATAAATAAATTTATCAATAATAACAACTTCAAAGATTACAGAAAACAAACATAATCATAACCCATATATTCAGAAGTTAAATGTCGACAATTTTTTTAAATTGTATCACGCACAGTGAACATGCATTTCAAACTTTTTACAATTTTCAGATAACTTTGTCTTTTTTTTTCTATTTTATTCAATAATTTTATAACACTGTATAGATATATTTATTATGCATACAAGGGTTATATTCAATAAAAAAGATCTTATTTTTATTTTAAAAATTGAATTTAAAAAAAACTCGAGTATCAGAGCATAGAAAATGGTGTCAATTGAAATAAGAAAATTGAATTTACTGCAAACTTGATTTGCTTTAATAAGACTTTTATTTTGTATCTGATATCTTTACCTTTAAACACCTCATGTAATTTACAGTGGTTTATTTTCATAATATTGAATTAACTTTATCTCATTCCAGTACAATAAATCTATTAAATCGTCCTAAATAATGTAAAATATAAACGAAGACAAGCTATAATTTTGGTGGCTTGACCTCATTAATTTCCGTGCATCTAATAATTATAATTATCATCATTACAACTATAATAAATTATTAACTTTTATATTACCTTAAATACTGAGATGGTAGATTCGATTACAGTGTAGATTTTATATTAAAAAAAAAAAAAACAGTGACTTCTTAAAACCTAGGGTTTGAATTATTGTTGTTATTTGAAAAAAAAGTCGAGTATCATTATAAAAATGTGGAGATATTTTTTTCTATCATGCACAGTTTTTCAAAAATTAATTACTTTAAATTACTGGATTGTATAGTAAAGAGATCTTGAAGATTTAATATGTAAAGATGTATTTTTCTAATTCTAAATATAATAACTGAAAAACGTATGTCAGAAATAATTAAAATACTACTCATACTTAGTATTTCCAATTCGTGCTCCATAATACAAAAATTTTAATGGTTCTCTAGAAATGTTAGAACCACATACTGAACATATTTACACGAAATAATTCAAATCCCAAACAACAGATGTAATCTAATTATTGTATTACGTCGTACATCCTGGTCATTAATATTTCCCTAAACCATATTTTTAATCATCATAATTCATCTGACATTATTGAATATAAAATTCAAATTTTTTGTTTCAATTCACAAGAATTTATAACCAATTGTTAGAATCGATTTGACATTATCGGATAATTTCTTCGTTTAATTCAAACTAATTTGTATAAATCTTTTCACAACGAGAAAGATCACAGGTTAGATAATCCTATTTTTCATATTTCCAATTAAATATATAGATTAGTTAAAAGTGGAGCATGATAATTTATACGAAGCAAAAAAAATTAATTCGTCACGTAGACTTATTATACAAATATTTTTAAAACAGAGAAATTTATCACAATTTATGTATACATATATTTCAATGATGATGATAATAATAATAATAGTGGTAACGATTACATAGTATCTTTACAATAGTATTGATTATCAACGGTTAATTGATCACTTCCATTGTTGAGTCGAGAAAAGAACCGTTAGCATTTCCGTTAAGAAAGAAAGTAATCTCTTTAACAATAGTTTCAATGAAATAGAAAATAAAATTAAAATAGCGAATAATTTTCTTTTCAACCATTGTCACGAAAATATATTTCATGATATTTTATTTAGTAGTAATAAATCCATCGAATTAAATTAATTCTTTGTTTTCGATTTTTTTTTTATCATTCAGGTACCATATTACTGGCCATGGCAGCACAGAACACCTGACAATGTTGAATACGCCATATACTTGGCAAAACGTACGCTAAGAAATAAGCAACGTCATGCTTTGGAAGATTATGAAATCGTGAGTAATAAATTGTTTATTTAGCTTGATTCATAACGGAATTATTGATGTTACTTCTATGTGCCCTATAAAGAACTCTCTTTTTTATTTAAAAATTGCTCAGTCATACCTTTATACACTCACATAAAATAGTTGTATATAAATCGAAGATAAGCATCATAAATTTTAACAAAATCATACTGAAATTTTTTTCTACATCCAATAAAGGATGTTTTCAGTTAATTTTATTTGAGCAAACAATAATATTTACTTATTCTTTTTATTATGATAACATAATCTGTGAAAATTTTTTTATTTAAAAATTTTAATTTGTATACTTGCTACAATTTTTTTTTGTTTTTTCAAAATTTATTATGATAAAATATGATTATTAAATGCAAAAAATTGTTTTTCATAAAAATGTTTTGCTAATGTTGATTGAATAAAAAAGAGAGGTAAGTATGCATGATAAAATTAATGGATGTTGCAGGACGCTTTGAATAGTCTGAGAAAAAATTTGGCAAATAAATGGGAGTTGATTCAAATGCAAGCGGAAGAGCAAGTACGATTGTCTAAGGATCGTAAGAAAGGCGATAAAATTGTCAGCGATTCACAGGAGCGTGCCTTTTGGAGGGTTTATAGACCACCACCAGGATGTATGAGTAGCCTGGAAGTGCCGCCTGTTCCGACGAGAGCAAGACCTGGTTCGAAACCACCAGTGCGTAAAAGAACGCTGACTGATCTTCAACGTGAAGTAAGTTATTTTTCCTACAAAAAAATTTTATCAGTTAAGTTCTGTCAATTATCATTGATATAAACTATAGATTAGCATCAGACAAATATTTTCTGGGTTCAAGTCTCACTTTAAATTACAAGCTAATCCTACATTTAAACTAAGTGAGATTGAATGCAGCAACTATATTTCTTATGATACAATCTAGAACAGTGAAAAATTATTAAAATATTCTTTAATTAATTTCTGACTTTTTTTAAATTAATTCAATTAATTAACGGGAAAACTTTTTAAGAATTTTTATAAAGTTATGAATAGTAGATTCTTAATTATTTCAAATTAAATTTCACAATAATGAAATAGAACGACCATTTCACTAGTGTCTTTTGCTTAGCAAGACTTTTGATCAACTGTCGGTCGATAGACATTAAAAGATTACAAAAAATTTACTTTGTTCTATAACAAAAGCTTTTTTTTAAACATAAAAACTCAACACAAAAGAGCTAGAGAGTTATTAAAAGAGGTACTTACAACTTTTTCCAAGAAATTGATCAATTTTTATCAACTTCAATAAATTATCTTACGTCAAGAGATGACAATTATCATTAGAAAAAATTATAGAACCTTCATCATTTTTACTTGTATGATAAAATTATATATAAATAATTGAATTATTAATAAATATCTATTTTGTAGGTTGAGTTCCTGAGAAATAGTCTGACACGTACGAGAATCAAAGTATCGGTGGCAATCGAAAATATTAAAACTTACTTTGAAACATATATGGAATATGATCCAATGATTGTGCAACCGTTGCCTTCCAACCCATGGATAAATGATGATCAAATGTTTTGGCAACTCAATAGCCCAATAGTAGAAGTTCCTACTGAAAAACGGGTCAAGAGGTGGGCGATTTCATTGGAAGAGCTCATGGCTGATCCCACGGGTCTCCAGGAATTCACTAATTACCTCAGAAAAGAATATAGTCATGAAAATATTCGATTTTGGCTCGCAGTCAAAGACTTAAGACACTGTTTCCAAGCACAAATACCAGAAAAAGTTGATGACATTTTTAGGTAATCATCTTAATTAATAACTTACATGTTTTTAGTCTGATTATTAAAATGATTTTATTTTAATTAAAAAGCAAGATAATTTTTATGGAGATTATGAAGCTGACATTTATGTTTTATTTGCATATTCCAGAGAATTTCTGGCTCCTGGAGCACCTTGTGAGATAAATATTGACGGCAAAACAATGGATAGAGTACATCAAGAAATGAAAAATCCAAGCAGATTTACGTTTGATGCTGCAGCTGAGCACGTTTATACTTTATTGCTTAAGAAGGACTGTTATCCAAGATTCATTCGGTCAGATCACTATCGAAATTTATTGGCAGCGGGAGTACAACCGTTGCAAAAGAAAAGGTAAATATAATCAAATTTCTATACCTTTTTTTTATTAATAGAAAATTTATCTCTAATTCATAATACATTTTTTTTTAACTTTTTTAAAATTTGTGAACTCGAAGTGAATGAGTTATTAAAAAAGTTATATATAATAACTACAAGATATTAAAAAAATGACTTGAAAAGTTGTAGAAGTTTCTTCACTGGCCTATTTTTATCACACCATCTTGAAAGGTGGTTGAGATCAATTGAAATGCATATTTTATACTTATAGTTCAGAAGACCTTGATCAGAAACTCCCCTACCTTTGTAATAAAATAACGAAAAATCGAAGAGATGAGCGGGATACAAATAAAAGTTACTTAAAAATTTTTTAGTTCAATGTTAGCTTTGAACACAAGACTTTATAAGGTATCCTTAACATACATTTTTATAACGTTTATGTTGAATTTATAGTAACATATTACAAAATACCACTAGTTTGTCTTAAATGTCAGCTCTAGCAACAGAATATTACCATATATTCATTGTCTTTACATATTAGAACAATAGTTCTTGTGTAGCCACATTTTGAAATATTTCTCAACCTAATTCGGAATTCAAAAAATGCTTTATGCATCCAGTTATGAAATATTCAAAAAGTCATCAATAATCTTTAGTGGAAATGACGAAAATATATTTGACTTTCATTGTGAAAAAATTATAGCATTAAATGTATCAAAATTTTTAATTCTTAAACAATAGATACAATGAGAATACTTTTCATTAAATTATTTTCAAGGTTTCACATTGTGAAATCATATCAACGAATGAATAAAGTTCATATTAATGAAAATTTTAAATCCCGTTAAATTTCTAGAATTTAAAATTATCAAAGGAATTTAATTATATTTCTTATCGGCATATTTTTGCTTCTTACGTAGATTTTTTGGATTCGGTGGTCAAGCCAAGAAAAAGGCAGCATCAAGTTCATCAACAGTGCCAGTAAATTTCCAGCCAGGAAACAGTGGATCTAGTGGAGGAAGGAGAAGAGGAAGCGACCGCAGCCTCTCGGGATCTGCTCATGAGCTTGCTATTTGTGGCGTACGAGATGTCACTGCAGCCCCAAGGGTGCCTCATTCTCACAGCCAATCGAATCTCTCTGACATTCCTTACAGGTAGGATTATTTAATATACAAAAATAGACATAAGTGACATGATTAGTCCTGCAATTGACCTGACAACAGAAATAGATTGCATTGTTACTTTATGATAATTGAGATGCTTAAAGTACGCGATTGGCTTCTGCATCATCAAAATATATCTATTTAAATTAGTTAAATATAGTGAGCGTGCTGAACCATTGGATCTTTTCAGGGGAGATCTGTGCCGTCTGATTAACATTCTCTCCAGGCCTAGTTCACATAGTATTCAGTAAGTCTTCGATAACCCTAAAATACTTCTCGTCATTTTCCATGGAAATTTATGTCTTATCAGCTATTAACTATCAATTTATGCTCTAAATGTTTTTTGACTATTGATATTGCAACTCAATACATTCTATGTTTGTGGTAATCATTCTGAAGTGTATATTTTCTGCTTTACTTAAAATTGTTAAACCTTCACGAAATTTTTATCATTCAAGTACTATATTATTCATCACTGAGGCAAGAACATCATAATATATATTACTTTGATTATTCATACCTCATGAACTAATGATAAAATGGAAACAAATTATTTCAAATACTATACTCTCCAAGTATCTTAAATGAAGTGGCTTCTCTTACAATTAATTTCCGAGTTATGATTATTCAAAGCTATAAAAACTTTATACTCTATTTGTATCAACTTTTAAAATTTATCTTTGTTCTAGTCTTCCTTCAGTACACTTATTGTTGTTTCCTTATTACTGTTAAGAGTTGAGTGGTTATTAACATTGACTAACTTAATTGAATTTATGTGTAAATTTTCGTCTTGACAGGATATTGACAGTATGGTAGCAGTCAAAGGATATCAGGCGTTTCTCTTAACCTTAAGAATAATATTTTATAAATTCTGGTGAAATAAAACTTGTAAATAATAATTGAATGCATGAGAGAAGCAGAGATGAAGGATTCGGTGAAAAACTAAATCCTATAATAAAGTTCTTGTTGTCAGGGATGCTGGAGGGACGGAGGTAGCTGCAGTTCGCCCTATGGACGACGTGTGCCCATGGGATGCAGCACCAGGACCGAGCACAGAGCCCGACGTCGTTGCGGGAACATCGTCAGGCTCGACTGACAGCAATTATTGGCCTTATGGAAGTAGTGGGATGGCTGTACCTCAAGAAACGTCATCAAGAACTTCACGAAAAAACTCTTCGCAGCTTGATTCCTGCAGCTCCTCTTCTGACGTCAGCCTAGCCATCGTTGAGGCTTCCGATCGACTGAGAAAAACCTGTGGTCTTCAGCATTCCAGCTCTATAGCAGCCCCAAGTATAAGCAGAAATTATTCAATTGGTCCAAGTGGCAAAGTTAAACTATCAGAAACCAGCAGATCTTCGATAAATTACGCTTCATCGCAGCAATCATTCGATTTGTCGCATTTCCATCATCATCACCATTACCATCATCATCAACATCCGCAAGAAAAACAGCAAGAGTCAGTGAAAAGTGTTCCTGAAGAAACGGAGTTCAAAGAAGAGAAAAAAGAACGTCTTGCTCCTCCTCTTACTATGGCACCTCTTATCAGCATTAGCGCTATTGTGGGCGACTTAACAGGAGACTCCGTTGATTCGGAAAAAAGTGCGGATGAGTCTGTACCTGAAGATAGCAAAGAGGCTGCAAAAACACTTAAACAAGAAGAGAAAACTGTTAAAGAAGAATCCGAGATTACGGACCGTGCTGAGGATGCTCAAGTTGTGCCTGTTTGGGAACCATCTGAGACGAATCAACGACACAATGAAACAACTGGCAGCTCCTCTGTCTCGGTCGTGCCTCGGGAACAGCGTGACAATAATGTTAATGAAGTTTGCCCGTGGGAAGACGAGTGAGTGTAACTTTTTTTAAATACCGAAGAAAAGTTCAAAGTAGTTTCTAAGAATTTTTTTTATGTTGATTTCCCGTAAGTACTCACGCAAAGAAAACTCACATTGTGCACCATGAATAATTAATTTTATATTATTGAAATGATTGAATTCATCATTCATTACGAGATTTAATTAAGTTATCGATTAAGTCAAGAAATAAATGAAAGAATAATGTGGAGAACAAATTGAGTTTTTGTTATTATTTTTAATAGTATTCATTAAATTAAAATTAATTTATTAGTTACTTCTTTTGTTATTATTATCTTTTGTTATTATTTAAACAAATAAAACATAATAAGAAAATTCCTAGAGTAAAATCAATATGTACTCAGAACGTGAGGTCAATGATTTTTTTTAATAAAATTATACTATTTAAATATTTTACAAAATGATTTGGTTTTTTTTTTTATACTTTTTGTGTCATAATAATTGAGAAACTATTTATATTTTCCATAAAATAAATTATTTTAACGTTATTTGAAGTAAATTACAGCACTTAAAATTTTTTATGAGCTGTAATTTAATAAAATTTTAACTGTAAATTTAATTACATTAACTTTATTTCACAGGGAAAACTGTAGAGTGGATACACCGTATGTAAAGACCTACGCGACATTAGGTTATTTGTAAGCTCTCGATAGACATGAGAGTAATTCAGCATATTATTTACATGCAATTCACTTCGCACAGGATCATGAAAAAATTATTTTTCGACGCTGCGCGTAACCAAGACGCTTTAAACTACTCTCAGGTGTTCTATTATAGCAACAAATTTTGATATAATTTGTCTTTCAACATCTTTTTTGAAGATAAGATTTAGCCATGCTAATGAAGAAGGAAAGTACTATGTTAACATCCGCGAAATATTTTTATTATGAATAGAAATGAAATAAAAAATATGAGTCACGAAAATGAGTAAAAAAAAAAAAATAAAGGAAATGTTTACTATATGCATAAATTTAAGGCCTACTATTTTCAATTCTTTATCTTATGGCTGAATTTTACAGTATATTTACTCTATACAATGTATTCTATATAATGTATTAATGTATATGTCTATATTAAATGAATTTATTCATGTTAAAGCAAAATATCGCTAATTATATTGATATATTGACGTTGTAATATTTATGTGAGTAGAAAATAGGAATGACTAGAAAAAGAATGGACAAAAATAGAATTCTACTAAGAATGAAAACTATTTATTCGTTAAAATAAATATTTTGAACATTATTTATAAACATAGAAAAATATTGGAAGTTATTTTTTAATTGTCAAGATGAGATTTAAGGGTGCATAGTCAATTATGAGCCCCATGACCTCAACCTTAGATCTCATTTTCAGTTAATAAGAAAAGACATGATACTTTCTGGTTTTATTTATTCATTATCAGTTTATGTCGTGAATTGATATCTACTTATTTCAATGTTATTTAATCGGTTAATGTTAAAATTATGTCTGAATGTTGATACAATGTTTTGTAGCACAACGTTTGTGTTTTAACATGAAAAAAATTTTTTAAAAATATTCTAATATCTATTAAACACTAGTAGTGAACAAATCTTAAAGATACTAGTATAGAATAGTAAAAGAATAATTTTATTTTACACTTGTGTAATTTTGTAGCTGTAAGTGAACCATAATTATAAAATATTTACTCTTGAATACTATTTAATATTGTCAAACAAGTCAGTGACGAAATCTATTAAATAATTAGTCATACTTTGAAAACTAATTAAGAAAATTTTAAAAAAAGGAATGATTTTATTATGGTTGTAATAGAGATCAGATAAAAATAATACAGTAAATCTCAGAATTTGTTACTGCCCCTGATTCTGATCTTACTGCTATTTATCTGATCTTGTTTAGTTGTAAAATCAATTTATTATAAGTAAAGAAACTCTTAAAGATAAAAGTATATTTTAACCCAAAGTTTTAAATCGCGGATGATGGATGAGAGAATTTAATAGACCCATTTAGTTGTATTTTTAACAAATAGATCAAAAAATATATATAATGATTTAATTTATTACTTATTAAAATGATTGATAATATAAAACACAAAAAATTGTTACAAATTTGGAAATTAATAATTTTTTAATAGCACTTGTATTTAATATTACACTTGAGAGTAGTTTTAAGTTATTTGCTGCATATGGACGTAAATATATGTGAAAAATCAGACTCTTTAATTTGGGAGTTCATACAAATGTTAGCGTGATTTTAATTGTAGTTACTATTAAATAATGTAATTATATTAACGATTAGCAGGAATTAATCGTACGTTTATGAAATAGGGATATAATTAATAATATTATACTGGACAACAAAATAATTCATTATTAATTGATTCAGTTGCTTTTCATCATTCTGATTACACAATTCATTGACAAAATTGCAACCAACAACTGAATAACTGTTATTGTTATTTACTATTAAGATAGAGATTCTATTTATCTATATAAAAGTGACAATTACTAACATCTGCATTGCTTTTCAAATCATATTATCCATGTTGATATCGATAAATATTTATGTATCTGAAGTCTATAAAAGTCACAAAAAAAAATTTAGACTCAGTAATAAATCAAAATTAAGAAAACTACAAGCTAAATTTAATCGATTCTTGGCATGTGACTGGAATCTTGTCTGTTTATTTATATAATTAATATAAATATAACCATTTTGAAATTTTTTGTTGTCCAGACAAAAGATAATGAAAATTTGCCAAGATGCGAATTATATACCCTTTCGATAAACCAATGGGTAAAGGCACTATAGAAAAAAGTTATTGCTGGTTTGTAGAAAATATACCGACTTATAAACTCACCAAAAAGTTAGTCTTCTAGTAAAACAAAAGATAATAAAATTATTAAAAAAAATATAAAACAATTGTATGGTTTTTTGAAGTGATTGATAACAAAAATTAAATAATGATGGTAATGAATAAAAAAATATTTACTTTGTTGATTAAATTTTCTCTTTTGTAAGAAAAGAGAACTCTGCTTGGAGGCTGTTTGCCACATATTCCCGTAATTAAAAATGAAATATCATTATGAATCAATTAATAGGAATAATAATGTATTAATTAATCGATTTATTGATTAATTAATGATTAATATGTGATGGAAACTATAATACATTGTTTATTGTCATTTTGTGTATTAACGTGCCATCGAATGTTTAGCTCATACACGCAACAAGCAAAACTTACTATCAATTATTTTAACTGGGAGTACATTCGAGTTCGATTTGAAGTACCTGACGAGAAAAAAAATCAATTATCTTATAGAATCTAATTATGGGTAATTATTACATATGAACAATACTCGAGGCCTACAAATATATTTTTCTCTTACTTTGAAAAGCTTTTATTCAATATTAACGCTAATGTATGACTAATGATAGATAATCACTAATTATTTACAAATGAATATTTTTATGATATAAACGAACCGGCCATTCGTTATCATTCATTAAATTGGAATAAAAATTGATTAAAACATTTTCCTCTTTAATTGATAAGTGATTATTACTAATCATGTGAACATAAATATTTCAATACTTGATCATAAATATGTGGACATACTTTACCATTCAAAATTATAAAATAAAAATACTTCATAAATATTGCAAAATTTTTTGCATCAATTTAATGTATATGAGTTATCAACTCATTTGTGCTCCCAATTTAACAATTTTTGTACGCAAATAAATCATTCACAGATAGATTAAAAATATTCTCAGAAAAAAAGCCTGGGAAATTGTTCACTTAGTTACATAAAAACATTAGTTAATGTTTGAAAAAGGTTCGTGGATTATTTGGATATTATAAAAGTGATATCAAGGACTTTTGTTCATACATAAATGAATTTATAATAAGAGACAAATTTCATGCCAACAGTCAGGCATCGATTTTTCATTATTACATAGGTGCTGATAGATAATATTAATAGATGTCTATATGACGCTTTGAGATTAAACGCGACCTATGGTCTCATCAGTTATTTACCATTAAAAGAAATACGTTAACATTTCTTTGGTGACGATTAAAATATTTTAGATATCATGTCGTCGTTAAAGATAAAAGATAAATATCTATTAATAATAAACAAAAATAGTAAACAATAAGCAACTAATGAAATAATTTAAAAAATAAAAAAAATGGATAAAAGTGATGAATTTTAGATTACGATTAGTTGCATAGACTTGTAGTACATGAAGACAAATATCTTTAATAAACTTGATTAGCCAAATATCCCATTAAGGTGCCGTTTAATTCTTGAAGCTGTGTTAATGTTATGATAATGATAATGATGATGATTATTATTATACATTAAATGGATCATGTTAAGTTTAATGGAGTAAAGGAAAATCGAAAATAATTGAAAAATTTTAAAAATACGTTATAGGGTGATAATGAGCTTTAGTGTATATAGTTTTATAAAGTGTTACTAGTTGAAACATATGGAAGTAGATACTGGATTATGGTTTCAACCAAAAAGGGTCGTATCGTACCTTGCTTCAAAGAAAATTCGCACTTGAGATAGCATTCAAAAAGTAAAAGTAAACATAATAAATTTAAATAGAACAATAAATGGTTTCAATATCTGAATGATGTGTATGGCCCATTGTCTCTTATAATATACAGAGAAAAATATTAAAATTATTGTGAAAATAAATTATTGTGAAATAAATAATACGAAAAATCAACTAAATATAACTATTATTTAGTAATTATATTCAGTTAATCATTAATAATTTAATAAGGACAATGATGATTAAATGTTCAACACCTTTCTAAATTGTTTGAATAATTTTATTATTCTCTTTCGGTTAATAACATCGACAACGTTCAGATGGACAGTTTGATTGATAAACAAGACATTTATCCATACAATAAATGTCTGCCCCTTTTCTTCCTTCGAGTTCTCCAATAGCATCACATTGGCTCCTAATGATGATCAAAGTTACTTATAAGTTATATAAACTGTAATTATCAAGTTTCTATCTAAGAAAATAGCTTTTGAAAATCAAGAAATCTATTGATATGAAATATTCAAGTAAAACATACTGAAATATCTTATTATGTTTTTGCACAGAGAAAAGAAACAGATTCTTTATCAATATTGATTTAAATATTAAACATAATGACGTAAATTACGATTAATTGAAGTAAAAAAAATTATTATGAGATCATAAATAAATAAATAAACAATGAATAGAATTGATCTTACGGGCAACTGCATATATTGGTGGGACAATTTGGTGGATATCGAAGACAATTAGTAGTGCACCATTGGTTCATTCCTGGTATGAATCGATACACATTTGTCGAATGACATACTTGTGACCTGATGACCAGTGGAAAGACATTATCGTTGTTATTATTATCAGATACTCTATAGTCTTGATAATACAAAAGAAATGGATTGTCTTGGTGAATAAATAATGGTGGAACTCCTCCTGTACTGGTTACAATATTTACATCAGCACAATTCCGAAAAGTTTCCGGTCTTCCACAACCAACGGCCTCGGTTCCATTTTCACAAGTGCCCCACATGTTACCTGGAATGTTTTTTATTTTTATCCTTATTTTCATCCAACGATTAAGAAACCAAGCCCTTCGGCCTTACACTTTCACTCTCAATTCTGGTTTTATTGCTTTTTTGTTCTGTCATTATTTTTTTATGTTACTTAATGGTTCTAAAATTAACTTCTCTTTTCCATTTTCATATCATACCTGTATAATAATTCCATTGAATAACACACTGAGAACAAGTTACATAGGGTGGCAATGCTACTTTATAGTTAAAAATAGCTTTTTTTTCGCTATCTTCTGGAATGACGAAAGCCACGTCTTCAGTACCCGATAAATAAAGTGGATATTTATCAAAGCATTCTTGAGTTGCTCGTTTGTTTGCATTGTTTGTTGGACAGAGATAAAGTTCAAATCTTCCTTGATGATTGGCAGTTAATTCTACTTCGATATCTATGTCCTGAAAAAAATCTCATTTACTTCATTGTTGACAAATGATTTGATATTCTAAATTGAAAGTTACATAGGTCAATGAAGAGTTACTTGCAAATATTTTTAAATTTAAGCTGAAGAAAAAAAACTCACCTGACCAACTTTATAGTGTCTAACAATTGTTCCCTTGGCGAATTCTCCTCCAGCCTCGTGCGGTCTTGGTTCAGCTAAATGATAAGCATCTCCACACATTCCACACCTTCCTTCATTTTGAACCCATTGGACTAGAACCAAGGATAATTATTTTCTATTAATTTTCTTTCATTTGTTTATTTCCTTTGTATACATGTATTTATTTTAATTCAGTTTCTATTTACTTCACTCTCGGCTATCATAAAACAATAAAGTCATTGTAATTTCTTACTCAACAAGCAACACTCTTTGTTAAATTTAATTAAATTCTAATGAATATCTGATTACGTTATAAGAAAATATTTTCAAATATTTTTAATTAAAACAACGTTTTTAATTATGACATTTGTTTCAAGATTCAATGAAAATTTGCTACAATATTTGCATTTTTTGTTGAATGTTAATGCATTATTGTGTTGTTTACAATCATTCCTAACAACTTATTTTAATTATTAATATATTTTGTTTTTACCTGCATATCCTCCGCAAAAGAGTTCATTGTCATTGTAATTCACTGGATTAGGGAAACCAAATCTCCACATGCTGTTTCTTGCTGGTGGGTCCATAAGTCTTCCATGACTATTTACATATTCTAGAATCTTCATTTTTAAATTACTTCATTTATCATCAACCTCTCTAACTAAATCCTCTTGAATTAAACAACATTTTAATATCAAACTTTGTTAAATAAAAATGAATCAAAAAAAACCATCAGATTGATATAAATAATTATTAATTAAAATATTAATGCTGAAGGGCTAATGATTATAAAGTAAATCTAGATTAATTCTAAGTTAATTTGCATAAGAAAATATTTGAACTAACTTGTAAAAAATGAAGTAAGATGATCCAGAGATTCCATCTAAAATTCATGATAGTTGGAGTCCAACTTCTATATGGTCTGTATTTGTAGAGAGAGATCAGGAAGGGAATCTAACATCATTCAAACATCATCTCATTAGTAATTCAGTACATTAGCATAGAATTCATTTGCGAGTAAAGGATAAAATAAGAGAAAAAATTTCACGAGCACTCGGTACTTTTATATCGGGTTATCGAACGCCCTTGTGAGGATTAACATGTTTATGATGATAATAATCCTATAAGTAACACATCATGACTCATGGTAATCTTTTTATTTAAATTATTGGCCAATGACTTATGAAGAGTCCTCGGATTTTACATTTGAGACTTTCGAATATGTCAATACTACCTTGACACTTTACGTGACAAGTGATCCAACTTATTCGTTTCGTTATTTCATTATTTATTTAATTATCCATTTAAATACACTAGGAGATCATCTACTTAGCTCGAGGTCGAGATTTTTCAATTTCAATATAACCTCTTAGGCTTAGAAATTATTCCCAATTTATTTTTATCTGTTGATGGATTTTTTTGTAGTGTTGATTAATTTTCTATTAATAGAAGATGTTTTTTGTTATTTTATTGGTTGTTTTTTTTTGCTGTCCTTTATTGAAAAAAGCAAAGTATTTTAATAAAATTGATTTGATAAACAAAATTTATCTTCAAATCAATTTATTGTAATTCAATTCTACTTCCAAGATCTTATTTTTTTATTAGCATGATAAAAAAATCTAAATCACCAAATTTAGGACACAAAAAAATTCTAGTTCTCCTTGATAGAAATACTAATCTTAATTGCATCCTATCTTGATACATAAACCTGTCTGAATATATTTTTGTTTACGAACAACAGATGAGTTCCAACGAGTGGCAAAAGTGTATTAAAATACAATTATTTCAATAAAAAGGTGTATTTATTAGTAAGTAAGTGATAAAACAAGTTTATTCATTAATTACCACTTCGACACATGTTTTTTTATCTTAGACCATTAAAGCTACATGACATTCATTTTTGGACACTCGATAATTTAGGTAAAAGATAAAAGTTGAAAAATGCAAAAATAACATTTTTAAATCTGTGGAACATAGAAAGAAATTTTAACCACAAAGAAAACCGGACTCACCAGGGCGTAAATTAAAATTTCAAGAGAATTAAAAACCGTTCTTTAGTTCTCTTTGCACTTCAATATTTTTTTTTCTTTATTCCTCTCATAAAACGGATGGAAACGAAGTTTCGGGAGACAATGAAGTAAGAGCTTTATTTTTTTTATAATAAAAAAAAAAATGAAAGAATGTGAGCAAACAACCAGAAGATTTTTATATTATCTCCTTTGAAATTTTGAAATTAAAGTTTCAGGTTTCTCAACAGGTTTATTGAATTTTTGCTCACATTCCTATCTTTTCCCTATTTTAATTAAAAACTTTACTGTAATTAAAATTCTTAAATTCACATCTGTATAATATACTCCAGTTAAAAAATTATCGGTCTAATAAATTATAAAATATTTTTAAAATGAGGTTATAAAAATTTTAAACTCAAATAAACAATATTTAAATTGAATTGAGTAACACTACAAATCCAAATGTTTAGAAACTAAACATTTAAAGTGTTTACAATGTTAAAAGTTATAAACAAACTGTAGCAGTTCAGTAGATAAATTTTAAACGCTTCTAGCTGTTTACCAAAATGCTATAGTTTGGTTATGGCGTTCGAAATTGTGCTATCGACCACTAGGGGGCGTTCAAGAAAAGTATGGTGGTTAGTATGTGTTGAAATATCAAAGAAAATAGAATGTAATTTGATTCAGAAACTGATATGTGTATAAATTAATCTAATTATTTAATACACAATCCCGAAAAAACATTGTAAACACTTAGGTGTTTAATTACTAACACTCGAATTTTTCTGGATTTGCAGTGTAAGAGCAACATTACGTTAATCATGTGGCGTAATTTTAATGAGTATGAAAAATGTCTCATAAAAATTCCAGAGCTTTCGAATGATTAATTCATTCTGTATAATATTTATTGTCTTTCACTCAATTACTGTCTTACCATAAATTCATCCGTGTGTTGAATGAGCTCACAAATGATTTGTAATTCGTATTCTAACGCACGAATCACGTAAGTAGGTAAAGACCGGTAAGAAACGGCGCAAGTAGTAACTTCTGAACTGTCTGATCGTTATGATGCACTCGGACTGTTGCCTATTTATTTTGTGTCTAAAAGTATTAAATAAATAAAAAAAAAGCATCAGCAAAAAAATAAAACAAAATAAGAATAAAATTAAATTTAAAAATGCTTCACATGTTTGATAAAATTTTTTGTCAACAATAAATACTTTTTTTTTGTTTAAGGGATTTTAAATAATTGGATCTTTAGTGGAGATCTTAATGATTATTTATGTATTGAATACCATGGTATATTTGAAGAGTCTATGGAAAAACTTGAATTCTTAGTTTTTTTTAAAGTGTCTTGGAGGTCTTGGATGGTGACACTAAAGGGGAAGAAGAGAACGCACGAAGAACAAGAAGAATACTGAACAGTTCTCGATCGTGCGAAACTCAATAGGTTGAAAAAGAGTGTGGACAACGTGCGCGTGATTCATTGCGCATATTCTCTTTTTATTTTCAATACCTTTTCCCCAAAAGGTTTCAAAAAATATTATTTAAATAAGTTTATTCACATTCGTCTAAATCACCTTCTTTATCCTCACGTCTTATCACTTAAGGTAGTTATCCAGCTTTGAACTGTTTTAAAAATTCACCTTACCCCAGCCAAATAAAATTGATCATGATTAATATACGATATTACAAATCAGTAGAATTATATTTTTATTGCACAGACCTGGTGTAATATGTTAATATTTATTTTTTTCAGATACATATAAGCATATAGAACTTTCAAAAGAATAAATATTGAAGACCCAAGAGTTTTTTTGTTCAATTTTACAAAACAGTCATTTGAATTCCAAACTGTATTCTTTTTAATTTCACAAATATTATCGCAGTTAATTATTAAGTAAGTATATGAGTAATGCCACATAAGTGACAATAAGATAAAAGAAAAAATTAGACAAGAATTATTCTAGCAGGATATCTTCTTCAAAAATATTCATTTTGCATTCAATGTCTTTTTTCATTTGTCTAGTTCTAAATGTATCTACCAAAAAAGACCGTAAATATCAAACCACCAAAAATCTCATTGACAAGAAGTCATGATTTCCTATTTTTAACACACAGCAATGTGAACTCTAGTAAATAACTATTTTAATATATGCAAATTTATTAACTTAGGTATGTTAGAATATTCAGGGTTTATTTTCATATAATCACTATAGCATTATAGAATACCAAACATTTGGAATTTCTATAAAATAAGTTGGTTGTTAAATGAACTTGGTTGTTATATTTATCGAGTTTCATTGAAATAACAAAGTTTTTGATAAAAGTTAATTATTGATAATTTAGTCATTTAGCTTGATGAAATGTTCAGAGATGTTGAATTTTATTTGATTATAAAAATTCTCTTTCCTGATACCCAGCACCGGATTTTACAGAAAATTTCTCATTCAAACTGCATCATAAAATGATTGTATATTATAGAAAAATTATTTCAATGATTTAGACTTAAAGTAGTTTATGAATAAAAAATTTCCCTAGGGCAGTTCAGTCATTGAGATTTCATTCATTGGCAGATATCAGATACCACAGTGTGCATTTTTGATTCAAACAAGGTATATTTAAACGTTTCAATGGATCCATTGGTTAGTAATCCTCTTGTTGATGTTAATCTATCATTTAGATACATCATGAAATGCATTTTTATTCAACTGATAAATTTGTTCAGCAAATAAATCCATGTATGAACATTACCATCTTTGATAACAGTCCAGACTCAAACCCATAGAGTAAAAATCAATTTATTAGAAAAATTGCAGAAGCAACATGGGCATGCGCTAGAGTTTGATAGTAGCTCAATCGAGTACAGCGCAGGAACACAGAAAGATTACTTTTCAGTGATGAGAAGAATACTAAAAAATTCATTCCATCACTCTCATATCAATTGGAAAAACTACTTCTGATGCTTTAAGATCAAAGAAAATGAAACTTATCTGATCCATTCTAACTAAATATCTTGATCATGTTGATGGTGGTTAAATTAATAACTAAGTACTTGAATAAGAGTTATTTCATTTCATAAATTAAAGAAAATTTTTTGTTTTTAATATTAAAGTTCACTATTAAAGGATAGGCAGGGTAATTGAAAGAAATAAATAATAAAGGTGATTTTTATAAATAATTTTTTTTAAATAATATTTGTATAATATATATGCATAAGAGTCAACACATTTTTAATCGAAAAAATTAAATAAAATTATTTAGATAAAATTTATCAAACAAACAACAATATATAAAATCATACAATTCATACAGTACTATCAGAAATACATGGGTCAGACAGACTGAATTATTTCTTTTTTTTTTTCAAAGTACAAATGACTTTTTAAAATGAGTAACTCGTCATTCCAGATAATTAAAAATGTTCTTGATAGAGTAGAAAAAATAACGAGTGATTATTATTGCTTTGTTCGGTTTTTTTTTATGTATCTAGATTTTTAATTGATGTACATAACTTACACAAGTCTTCAACTTAATTCTAAATGAGAGCGAGGAGTTTTATATGTGAATATGATGTACCTTATTCCATGTAAAATCCAGTATAATCAACAATCAAAATTCAACGATTACATATGCAATTAAACAATCGTTTTTTTTTTTTAATTAAAAAATGTTTTTTCGTTTGACTATTTTATATGTTGGTATATATTTATCTGTACATATACATATACTTCTTTTTTTGATACAAATGTTAGTTGTAAAATCTTGATGAAATCATATGAGAATTATTCTTAAAACTTTTTTATAAGTATTATTATTATTATTATTATATAGGGTTGTTTTTTTATTCGTTATATAACTCTGTATTTTATTTTATTCTTCCATTTAGTTTAGTGAATATATTTGTCGCATTTTCTTTATTTTTTATTCTTCTATGAACTTTTGTTAGTCAAGAGTAAAATTTTCAAGCGATTTTGTACGAGCATAAATATTATGTGGTAAAAGAACTGAATATATATAAATTATCCTGACATAAAATAAAATGATATCAAGAAAGTAAAATTGAATAATTTATAATCGAAAAAAATTGTATTTCTTTGCAATTCAAATATTTGTAATCTATTAAAAATAATATTTCGCCACAGTTAACAAAATTTTTATTTATTGTACAATAAACAGATTTGAATAACAATAATTATGATTTACAATTCATTCATGATAAAAGTTAATGACAATAAATTAAAAACAATAGAGATTTTATCTTTTTCATCTTAATCCTTATTTGGAATTATTTTCAACGAAGAGGACTAAATACATAGCGGTCCTTTTTACATATTTTTATTATATTATTCATTTAATTAAATAAACATGGCTCGAAAAAAATATATCTTTTTTTTAGAAGTGATTATCTTTACTCGCTGGTAATTACATAATTTCATAAAAGATACTTTAGTTAAGTGTTTCAGTATATAATATTTATAACCTTGTTTCAATATATATTTAATATAAAAATAATAAACGTCAAGTTGAGAATATTCAGCCAGAGTCTATTGTTTTATGGATACAATTCATACTTGATTTTTACTAAAATTTTAATCTCCATTTATTTTTTGGTATTTTGTAATATTTTTATTTATTTTTTTTTGTTATTATTTTAGTTTTGAAATTTGAAGTATTGCAAAAATCTTTGGACACGCCATAAGACTAGATCTAAACTCGCATTTTATATATATATAAAGAGATCAACTATGACTAAATACAATTTTGAAACAAATTTTAACAAAAATATTAACTCATACAATAACTATGGTAATTAAATCAATATGTACTGATCAATAATTGGTGATCAGAAATTCACAATGATGGCAACTGATAAATGAATGTATAAAATAATAACAAAGCTTATTCTTGAAAATACTGTTTGGATTTTTTCTCTATTTAATCCTATTTGCATTCATTCTGCTCATTAAATCTTCCGCATCAGTTCATAATATTACTTTATTACAATATATTTGTTATTAAAATTTGTATCCATATGAATATCTATATCTCTTATATGATAAAAGTGTAATAAATTAGTATTTTAAAATGTTTATTTATGCGCTATATGCATTCGTTTTTATTTATTTTTTATTTATTGATAATTTTTTAGTTTTTTATTATTAGCTAGTGATATGTATCAGGGTTGAACTATCGACGTTCAGTATGATGCTAGTTGTATATTCTCCTAGCAATAAATAAATCTATTCTAGTAGAGAAAAAATTATTTTTTTTAGGAAAAATCCTCTTCCACATTTTTTTTTCTTTTTTACTTTAATTATTTTCATTTTTTACTTTAATTTTAATTTTAATGTTACTTTAATTTAATTAACAATTAGTCTAATAAAAGAAATATATTAGCAAAAATCTCAAAATTTATTCATAACATAACTATTAAAATTAATTTTTCTTTTATATTTTTATAAAAATTATTTTTTTAATTTTATGTAATACAAAAGAATATATTTTCACATTAAATAGAAGATTTTTTCCATAAAGAATAATTTCTTCTCTAACTTTATATATATGTATATATATATAAAACATCCAAAATATAAATGTGAGTAATACATTTTTATTAAAATGTAACTTTGTCGCACGTATGATGAATACAAATGACAATCAATAAAATTTATTTTCTCGATAAAATTTTTTTTCTTAATTAAATCATAAAATAGCGTTATGTCCTTGGGACTTTATTCGAAAGAGAGAGAGAGAGAAAGAGAGAGCATTGATGACCAAAAAATTGATCTAGAAATGTTAATAGACTGAAATTTATACAATGTGTCTACCTAGTGATATAGGGCAATTTCATTGCATAATTTCTTAAAAATTTATTTCTCGTTGAATTACGTAAAAAGCATCAGGCGTGTAATTTAATTAAATATTCAATTTTTTTTTTTTTTATATATATTCAACATTATTGCGAGCAATTTTTTTTCCTCGTCTGCTTTGTCTTTTATTCCTCCCTCCGAATTTCGGACATTATATAATTTAATCACATTAACTTTCAATCATTATTATGGTATGATATGTTTTAACAGAGCATCAATTTATGTTCATACTTATAAATTGAACTACTAACGTACATTATATCTACAGTGCTGATCAGAAATATCTGAACCAGTTGATTTTATGCAAATATAAATAAAAAAATTTTTTGTTGTTTTTATATAAATTAGCATAATTATTCATCGCATTTTTTAAAAATTTCAATTTAAGCTCGGACGTGTATTAAAAACTCAGAAATTTATTTTTAACAAAAATAGAGTAAACAGACCAATAGATAGACATATTTAAATATACATATATTTTTTGCTGAAAGAGTAATAATAGTTGGAGATATTGAAGTTTGATTTCCAGTCTTTCATACTAATTATCTGCTTAATATATTCTATCAATTTTTAACAAAAGATAATTTTTTAATTATTTTAAATATAATAAAATCTATTGGCCTGTAAACTTTACATTCTTCGTTAATAAACTTTTTTAATAAACGACATAAAGGTCACACTTTTAACAAATTTGAATACTATATATAAAAGGCTTTGTGATAACTTGTTCAAGAGTCTCAAGCGCTTAGATTAATAAAGATAATTTCGACCACAATCGCGAAATTTATTTTTAATATTTTTTTTTTATTCTTTCTCAGGCAATTATTGATATGTATCGTTTTTTTTTTCATGGCATTTTGTCTTTCGACATTAAATTTAATTATTTTAACATATGGATTATCTAAAGTCTTATATATTATATATAATAAATATAGAGTTGTTTTTAACGTAAACTTACATTCTTTATCAATCACTCGTTGATATTTTATTCTCATGGGATAATCCCAAATAATTTATCAATGCAGTAATACCTGAGGGATCGCGCATACCCCTAAGACCTTGATGCACCAATAAATCGATAATTCCAGGGTCGACAAGAACAGAACGACGACCCCAGTTACTTAGATTTATGATAATGATTTTTTGATGATGCTCATGATTTAAAATAAATTAATTAATGATTATGATTTTAATCTAATTTTGTTTTTGGCTTAATTACTAATGATATGTAAGATTTTTTTTATTATTTCATGCTCCACACTTTGATATGTCGGTTCAATAATAAATTTAATCTGCACGAAAAAAGTATTTAACTTTTCTGGTATAAAAAGAAGTAATTAGAAACATTCAGGCATTTAAATTAAACTTTTAGCACAGAAGAAAGATAAAAAATGATATGTATTTAAAAATTTTTATAAAACACTTTGTATTTTTTTTTTATCGTTATAATTGAAATTTTTTTAAGAAAAAAAAGTAGAATAATACTTCATTAAGATAATTTTTTTTTTAATAGGTTGTTTAATAAAAAAATATTTCCTTCTATTGTTAACTAAATTGATTTAGGTCTTGTGAATGACCAAAGATTGAAATCCCTCAACGAAGGACTAAAAAAAATAAATAATAGAGTAATTTCGGTAGTACAAATATTCCTTTATGAGGAAATAATAGAGTACTTGTTTTGTGATTTTATTCAGGATTTCATGTTCTCAAATAAATATTCTAGAAATATTACTATAATGTTGCATAAAATAGAATATGTTCGAAAGCGTATTTCTATTTTACAAATATTTTCTAAGAAAAATCCAGATTCAAATACCTGAGATAATATTTTGTTTTTAGAAATAACTTTTTATTAAAATACTTTAAAACATGCACACAATTTTCATGATTTCTTTGTCAAGAAAAAAGTATGCTGAATATTTAAAAAAAAAAAAATTTCACCAACTCTAGATCTTTTTTTTTTTGAGTAAATAAAGAATAATAAAATCACTAGAGAATTATTTCAATACGTGAAAAAAATCTAAATATGGTTTTAAAAGTTGTAAAAATTTGAAATTTCATTCATTATTATTACTCCAGTAGGAATAATTATGAATTCAAAAATCTCATAAAGTTTAACCTCAAAATAACAAACAGTAACTACTATTGTCATATTATATAGTATTCGTTAAATAAAATAAAATTGAGTTAAAGAATCAGAGGTACAAACTAGAAAATATTTAATAAAAAATTCGAAGCTTTTTTTCAAGCTTCATTATTGCATTGTGTTTCTTAGTATCAACATTTTCAAAATTTATCTTATTTTAAAATTCACATTCATAAGTAAACTGTCTTCCTCAATACATCTAAAAAAGTAAAAATTTATGTTCAATCAATTAATCACTGATTTGGTAATTAATATATCATTATAACTCTAATACCATTTTGTCTTATTGACAATAGAGGTTAGAAATCAAATAAAGTATTCGATCGTTATCTCATTAATTATCAAAGAATACTTTACTCTTTTACTCAATTAAAAATTCATCAGTTCTTTCTCAAACATTTTTTGTTCAACTATTTGTACATCCGATCCAACATAAATAATTTCCTTCATTAGTAAGAGATTAGCAAAAGTGAAACAGACATCACTGGTAATTATTCGTTGATTATCAAACAAGAAATTAAAAATTGTTCGAAAGGAACTCAAATTGTTTGCTTCTAATTAGTAGTTAACCCAAAAGCACTGAATGTTAAACTTTTTTTCGTGCAGTTTATCGTAATACTTATGAATACACTTTTACAAATTATTGAACTTTTGATCCATTATCAATGTTTTGTACCCATTCACTCAGTTCGCTCGCTGCGTATGGTCATACAAGCATCTGCAGACTCAAAAGCCTCGCAATTTTATGTAAACGGATCATTCACCACGAGTTATTGTCCCTGATGACACCCCCCTTGTTTGTAATTTCCCGGCGTTATTTATGGATGTATGCTACAACATTTTCTCTCATACTGGATTACTGTGCTAGTTCATTTACGCCTCTCACTAACGAGAAACATTACCGTAGCCTCAACAATTCTACGTCTGCGTTGTTATATTTCCTAAAAAAAAAAAAAATGTAATAAAAAATATAATAAAAACAAAAAAAATGCAAGGAGTGTAATGGAAGAAGCTTGCCAGCAAAAAAGTGAGAATGCACGCGAAAGAAAATACGAGGTAGGAGATACAAAACGAAGAAGAATGGCCTGTATAATGCGATAGTGCTTTCCGTGTACGTATATACATAAAATAAAAGCTTGTAGCAGCTTTTGAATACTTTAGAAATTTTTGTAAATTCAAATCAGGTTGTCACTGTCGTCAACCAATAAGTTTAAATTATTTAATCGTTACACATATTTCCGGCAATCGTATCAAATGGTCCGAGAAAATAACCGGATTAACACGAGAGAATTTAATTGAAGTCTATTGTTCAAAATTAAGAACGTGCAGTAAATTACTTTAATATTTTACTCTTTTTTTTTAAGTAACAGCATTTACTACATTATTAAAAATTATCTTCTTTACAAAAGCTATTTAAGAACTTACTCTGCTAGAAGATCCTTGAGAGTTAATTTTTTTTGTATCATACAATTTTCTACATTTCAAATTTTTTTTTACTTTAGCATTCTTCATTAGTCATGTATATTTAAATTTTTCAGGTTAATCAGAAAAAAAATTAGTTGATAATATCATTCTCTAATTTTTTATTGATGAGTTTCATTTAAGACTGGACTTTCCTAACCACAAATCATCTCAAATTTTACTCCATTAATTATGTATTTTTTATTCGTTGTTTTCATGTAAAAAATATTAATAAGTGTTAAGAAAAATGATATAGTGGGGGTAAGATAGAGTTTGAAAGTGTAAGTGCAGTAAAAATTGCATAATAAATTATTTTTTAATGGAAGATTCATGACAAGAACGCCCACCATAACACCTCAGAATTCACTAAACAATGATTTATAATATGATTATTATTGCACTTACACTATCAATCTTTGTTTTGTGCTGTGTATCCCACTTTTGTGATTATTCTTAAATATTTTTTACATGCAAACAACCAATAAAAAATTTTAAAATTTGATGAGAAAAATTTGAGGTTATTAAAATTAAATGTTATATGGTAAATATATTTTTATTTGTTCAAAATTAATTAATTATATCAATGAATTGAAAACTTTCGAATTTGTTTAAAAGCTTTGTGGTACTGCTTCATATTTTGTTGATGATGTTTAGATACACACCTATTTAGCTCGAAGCAATTGGCCTAAATTAGTATGTGGTAGAATGACAACTCCATGAATTCATATTTGTACAACAATATTAGTTAACATTATGACAAATAAAACACAAGTAAAATTGAACTTAAAACTCATTTCGTATACATAACTACTCAATATACGTTTATAAAAGTTCTTTTTTTTTTAATTTTTTCTTTTATTCATCGAAACAGAATAATTTTTAAATAACTTATAAAACCTCTAGCCAATCCCAATTGTTTAAATAGTTTCTTTAATATATTCTATTATCCCCAGAGCATATTTTTAGTTTAAAAAAAGTTGAATAAAAAGTACTATTTGAAATTATAAGATGATTTTTTATGAATAAATACACTGAAAGTTGGAAAAAAATATTTTTTTTTCCTTCTGAACTTTATAAAATTCATTAAATAAGAAGACAGAATTTAAATTGCAATTTTTACAGCAATTTACATTAACAAAAACACGCAGATGAATATGAAAAAAAATTGGACGAATTTGCAGAAAAAGAATTTAATAGCATTTTCAAACTCACTAGAGCATAAAACAAGCTTTTCTGATGATAAAAATAAAGAGAAGAAGATAAATTTGTCACGTTTCAATGATTCGTAAGAATCGATTTAGACATTATACGGGCAGAAAGTTGATCTAAGTCACCCTCATCATCGATAATTTACACGAAAGATAAAAGTTGGTAAAATAAATGAATTAATTGTTATTTGGTTATATTGATAAATGTGTCGAAGGGAAAGTGAAGATTACATAGGCACCCATTCGATATAAAAAATGAAAAAGAAATAAGGAGGTAAAAAAATAGAGTGAAAAAAAAGAAAATATAATAAAGCGAGGTTAGGTGTGAAGAGGGAATGATGGATGGTGATGATAGTATATATGTTAGTTTCTGGGAATTCGTTGAGATTCGTCACGTTTCTCGTGTCGGAGAGGAATTAATTATCCTTAGCTTAGGCGTCTATCTCTTTCTAGAGCAAAGAATTCGTTAGGGTGAAGGTTGCGAATACGTGAGGCTTTTGAATCCGCTTATTTTGCAGACCAAATTCTTAGTCAAGGTATACTGAATCGGTTTACCAATTACACAGAAAACAAGTCGTATATACAGATCAGTTGTGAATGAATTAGACTAAATGATTAAATAATACATCCAAACAAAACACATGGAAACCGATTCAGGTTATTTTTTGTTTTCAGTGACATTCTCACAAAGCAATCAACGGTATAACAACTTCCAATGTGGATTATAAAAATATTAAATCTGATAATATTAACTGTTAAAATCTTACGGTAGAATTAAGCTAAGGACCAATATGATCCACAGAGATCTATGTCAAGTCCAGAGCTTTTTATAATTATTTTTTTCGTCTGTCATCACTCACCAGGACGTCTTTGTTGCTACCAATTTATCAGCATCGTTGACATTGATTATATCGCAGCGAGCAATCATTCTTTCCTTCAAGGTTCAACTGACATAAAGACGTGAGCAAATGGATAAATAGCTCTCATCATTTTCCTCTTAATTGAAATTTACGATAATTACTTACATTCTGGTAGGCACATTAAAATGTTCAGTGAGCTTTAATGAGCATCTTAATCAATTTAAAATTATCTATTAATTCTGATTAATCACTTCCTAGTAATATAATGGTGTTATTAAAAAAAATATTCGATGATAAGAAATATTACGGAATATGGATTAGTGAACCCTAATATATAGCAGTACTATTGTGAGAATCACATAATCGAACTTACTCTGTTTAACTACCTTATTTACTCTCTTGAGGATCTTGTTTGTCGTGGCTTGGTAATCAAGCAAACATTACTGTTATACCAGGAATCATTTAATTTTTATTATGTGGCTATGTGAATGATACTTTATGATGAGACATTAGTCACACAAAAATTTCTAATTGGGCACATTTTCGGTTGGTGAGATCTAGAGGATCAAAATGAACTAAATTGGGTCACAAAGAGTATTAAATCAAACGATAATATGACATTTAAGCTCGTTTTTCCATGAAATATATGAGAAATAATTTATTGAAAATGTTGTTTTATCTTGAATAAATTTTTGTCTCTTCAGCAACAATATTTTTCATAAATAAAATTGTGGTTTTAATATTTTTTGGACAATGTACAAAATTTGAACTGGAACATTGTTATAACTACGCTTACTTTATAATAATGCAATCAAACCTAATTGATGTTGTAAAGTTTTTTTCTATCAAAAATATTATTATACTATAATTTATATCCTTCATGCTTGATTTGAAGTATTTATGGAATTAATGTCCTGTCATAAAGTATTATTTAGACCACAATATGATATTAAATGTACAGATGCAGATAAATAAATTTATCAACCATCATTACGTTTCTCAAAAACACTTATTCAATTATCCTAGATAGTATCTATTTATAAACTTTTATTTTGATTTTCTAATTTAAGTTTCATTTTAGAAATATTCAACAGCTTAAAAATCCAATAATAAATGAACTCTGCAAAAATAGCAAAACTCTCAAACAATAAAATAGTATTTCACACTTGGTACCCTCTTTTTCACTAATCTCATAGAATTTATTTAACTTCAATGACGATTGTAATGATCAAATAGTAAATTCGAATCATCTTGCTGATGAAAGAAAGTTCAATATGATACTGTATCACTGGAAGTATTATCACCAAGATAATGATCCTATAAAAAGACATTTAAACAAATGAAAAAGTAATTTTTCAGACTTTTCAAATATATCAGTAAATTATTGCTATCTATTAATTGTTTGATGAACAATAATAGCTATATTCATTAATCTCACTGAGCATTTTGATCCTAATTTTTATTGCTTATCAGACGATTTAAGTTTAATGTTATTATCTTTGTCACCTTTGATGTAAGTAATTATGTAATTATTCTTCAGGCCAACCAAGGTCCTCGCCAACGAGTTCGTAAAACCGCTGATTATGTTCATTGAAGAATTTCCTGAGCTTGGAAACAACGAGAGGATCAACTCTTGGATGTCTTCTGCCTTTACTCTCTCTTAGGCACTTATCCGCGGTCTCATTGCGGAGACAGTAAAAGCCTTTTGTATGATTGAAGTAAAAATTGTGTCTTCCAATACGTGATTCAAGACCGAGGAAAGTTTCAATGCGTTTTAATTGTGGTAATGGATCCTCAATAAGCTGATCACCATTTACTACAAGTATTTGTTCGCGTGGGAAGACCTCTAGCCATCGATGCATATAGTTGTGATAGAGAGAGATGGAAATAGGTCGATAAGACTCATTTATACTACCATCTGAACGTAACACGAGCTCCTCAAAACTTCGACTTGATGCTGGTAGTCGTGGATTTTCTTCTTCTATTGCTGTTACTGATGTTGATGTTACAGCAGTCGTTGCAGCTGATGTCGTTGCTACTCTAGTTCTTAACTGAGTGTAGTCTGAAATCGCTCTCGTTACTGGCTCTCGTACTATCAGCAGCAATTTGATGCTCGCATTCATCGCATGAATACGCTCTGGAACCTTTTTTCATTATTATTGATATTTTTATTGGTTCAAGTAATTATATTCGGATCAACAGAAATATTAATGTTCACAAAATAATTACATTAAGATGTTTTAATTGTATATATAGTAAGAATATTTCATCTCTTAAAATGACATTTAAATTAGATATAAAAATTTTTTGAAAACTTCTGATGATTAAGATTATGATGAATGATTATTTGGGAAAAAATCTCGATTATAAACTCACTAATCAAACCACTTTTTGATAGCTGTAAGGATTTGAAAAAAGGGATAAGAAGTTGTTATCAAGGGAAAAAAGATCATTAATAAAGTAAGTGATAACAACAACCCTTATCTCAAGTATTTTATGCTACAATTTACTGTTGGAAATGTTTGAATTACATAAAACTGGCTTATCTTCTAATTTGATGCTTTTATAAGTATTTATGCAATAAACTCATCAATCATTCATTATAATCACTGGAAATATATAGTTTGATTAGCATGCTGCTTTTCCTAAATATAAACTATTTATTACTTAACATCCTTCTCTGTTCTCCTGTTTCTCAAGAATACAATAAGAGTACATAACTTGTACTCATAAGTAATCATCTCATTCTTCAATCTAAATATATAAATAACTCTTATTATACATGCTGGAGCTCTGTGTTAAATCGTCAATTCTCTTCTTCTTATGTCTACAATGATAAAGTAAATAAAACCCAAGCTTTTTAGTAAACATTTCTAATCTAACTTGCTAATAAAATAGCTTTAAAATCATCAGTGCTAAGAATTATAATTAAACTGATAGATTTATCTATTTTTAAAAAAAATTTTTTAAATAAGTTACTTGATGTAAAATAATAAATAACATTTTTACAACTGACTAGATGAATGATAGTAGAATTAGGTATTATAATTAAAACATCTTTTGCAAACATTAATTTAGCAGATCTGTTTTATCATTATGTTTTATCTTATATCATAGCCTTCATAATATTAATTATCAAAATAATGCCTATTTAAATTGTCAAAATAAAAAAAAACACACTGAGATTAATTTTCATATCATGTCATTATTGTTCTGTGATTAATTAGACGTTTTTTTAAAAAAGATTTCAATTATGGAGGCTACAGTATAGTTATTAATATCATTATTATACTTTCACAGGTCTATAGTTTACATCTATGTTAATTGGGATTTCTATCTTTTCATGTCATAACTCAATTAACGCTCTAAAAACCCAGTATTATATTAAGTCATTTTCTTTCACATATAAATAGTTATATTGAATGATATAAAGTCTAATTGTACATGAAATAGGAAACGGTATTTTTTAAATAATTCTCACACTTATCGTGTTCCCCTTTTTTCATATAAATAAAGTCATTTGAAACCAGACAACTTTATTATGTTAATAATTTCTAATTAATTACCAATTAATTACTTTGGAAAAATATCATTTTTTTTGATTAAAATTATTTGTCAGTGATGCAATTAAATTCTTGTTGGATAAATAAATATTTCAATTTTTTTTATTTCATCAATTGAAGATGAAATACTAGGATTGTATATAATCACAAAATTACTGTTATAAAAATTTATAATGATACTCTAGTAAATATTTTATTTGATTATTTATTAAATTATTACTCTTTAACATGACAACTTCTATTTTTATCCAAAAACTTTATTAAATAAAAATCACTAAAGCAAATAAATTTATTTATGACAAATAATCAATATTAAACTCAAGTCCATTACACAAATCAACATTTGGAAATCAAATAAACTTGAACAAAACCACCTTGCATTGATAAAATCATGTAATACATATAAACAAATTTATATCTTTAATAGTATTAAAAGAAATGGCTTTACAGTTGTGAACATCAGCAGATAAAAACCCCAATTTTCTATAAACCTGTGCAAATATTAGATATACCAACCTCAGGTGTCACGAAATAACTAGGACTTTTTTCGATGGTGATTTGACCTTTGAGTGAATATGGCATTTTCTTTCGATACCATTCAAGACCTCGTTCATAATTTTCATCTCTATCAAAAAAATGAACTTCACCAGCTGCTTTCTGGATTTGTGGATGAAGAAAAAGCATCTCCAAGAGAGCACGAGTACCACATTTGCGCACTCCAATGATGATAGCTTGGGGTAGATGACGGTTTGTTCTTGAGAAGTGAATTTTGTTGGGAGTTCCTGGTGTTTGTGGTTCTTGATGACGTTTTGGTGGGTCTACTTCATTCGTAAGATCTTCTTGGGAATCGAATACTGATACAGCAGCATCAAGGCTATAAATAGCACTATCATAGAGGATATGAAAGGTCAGGAAGAGCGAAACAAGGGCCACTAGGAGAAAAGCTGCGGCTAACTTTGGTCGAGATACGCCAACTACCAGGATGCAGTCTGACGTATCGCCCTCGGCCGGCCTCATGGCGGAGCGGGGTATCCACCTAAAACAAATATTACTTTTTAATTACAAAAATACATTCCTTTTTGTAAAACCAAAATAAAAAATCATTGTAATTCAAATAGTGGTTGCTATTTTTGCCAATGCTATCAAGTGAAACTTTGCTTGCTTCAATAACAATTCAGAATAAAATCAAACTTTTTTCTTAACGTCAACTGAAACAAGATTCTATGGAGAAACGTAAACCAATCGAATTGGATCAAACAACATTCAAATTTATTTCATTGGTATTGGATGTTATGTTTTATTACAAACACCTAAATCTAATAATACTTGGTTGAAGTTTGAAAATATAGCATTAGATTCAACTAGATCTAATCATTCTTTGTAGAGTATTGCACCTGATCCAATGAGATCTAACAAGTTTTGGTGTGATACACCATCAGATATAATATCAACGAAATAGTATTGAATTCAATTGGATCTAGATAGTAACTGTAAATTGTTGCATCAGATCCAATTGAATCTAGTTGAACCTTGACAGTTTTGGTCAATTATAATATCAAATTTAATTTAATTAAATTGCATTAAGAGTTATATTTATTTTATCTAGTTAGATCTGATTAATCTATCTCATTTAGATGCCTTAATTTTTTAAAATGATGGAATGTGGGAAATTTATTTTCAACTAAACAAAAAAACATGTTTTCATCATAAAAATCATAGCTAAAGTAATCAATATTCATGAAAAGTTTCAACAATTAATCATAATTTTACAAACTAAGCTAGTATTTTTAGCTTTCTTTTAGAGAATAAAAAATTGAAGTGAAAATGATAAAGCAAATTTATGATTAACGATTGAAGCATACCATTTTTGCTGAACTCTTTTACATTTTGAAGGTCTTATTTCAAAATCATGTCTTATATTTTTCAATAACCCTTTTAAATGATGAATAATTTGAGTATGGAAATAAATTCTTGATTGTATTCTATAAAATTTTGATTGATAATTATATTTTTCTGATTTATCTATTCTATAAAGCATCTAGAAACTCGACCTGAATGATGAAAATGCTATATTTTTATATTATATCAATCTATTCAAAATGAACTGTCATTTTTATTGGAAAAAAAATAGTAATAGATGAAACATTGGTTTGCTAAGTTGCGTTTGACCTTAATGATGGATAATAAAGCGTAATTCTATTAAACAGATATTATTGGACTTAATTGATAGTTAAATATCAGAGGGTAGGTATTCTCTCGTTGTAAAGTGAATATCTAAACCTATACTCTCGAATTCAATCAGTGGGTTAACAAAGATCTATAAATTTACAAAGATTTTAATGAAGTCATATTGAACAAGTAATGTTACATCATTTCCGGTATCTAATACTTTATTTGCTGATATTGATGCCACATAGACTACTTCATACATAAAATGGATTAATTAATTACACAAGGGATGTTTCATCAATATTTATGATATATTTAATTGAAAAAGATGTAAAATGACCAATATACATAATGGCCAAGGAATCATTCCTAGCTATTACAGAAGCTAAGTAGGAATTTTCATGCTTGAAGTGAATAAAATGATTATCAGCACAAAAATCGTGCCTAAACTTCAACCAAGTGTTTTTTTTTTCAATTAAAGGTCATGGTAAAAGTTATACATCAACTTCCAAGAATCTAGGTTCTATTGTTGATGATTTTACACTGAGAAGAATTAAAAATCTTTCTTTAACAATCAGAAGTTATTTAGTAGAATCATCTATTGATTTTACTTCAAATCAAATAACTCTAGTTTATTTGAAGGGAATTATAACAATCACTGTTATGACCATAAAACTATTAAATGTTTTAATTCCATACCAAAGCTATGCAATTACGATCACTATCGTTTCAACTAAATATTGAATTCCCTAACCAGAATCAATAAATGTGGTTCTAAGAGTTACTTCATTCTTTTTTTTCATAGAGAAAGCTGTTTGAACATTCATAAAAAATGAGGAATGTAATGTGTAATGACCAAAGTGAATGAGAAAATTGAATTTTAATTTATTAAACAGTAAAATCTTTGGTTTAGTAAATGAAAATTAGATTTATATCGACAGAAGAACTGTTTTACACGTCATGTTACAGCACAATTTATTAATAATTCGATAGTTTTTATGATTGCTACATCTAGAAGAGAAGTAAGTAATTCGTTGATGGAAGATTTAATAAAATTAATTTGATCCTGGAAATTTTTCTTTTAAAAAAAACAATATGAGCACTGTTTTTCTATTGTTGACTAGGTCTAAAATATACTTGGATCCAATTAATGAATGAGATTGATCAAACTACGATCCCTCCAAGGATATCTAGGTCTGACAATTAATACAATTAAAAACCAATATGTCTTCTAAAATACTAATAGTTATCCAATTAAAACATTTACGCTAATTGGATTTTGATCACTATTTTTATAGAATTAACTATATAATTATTAGAATAACGAAAATCAAGTCAACAAAAGAGAAATATATTAACAATGAGTAATTGATAGAAAGCAATTTATTTTGTAATTACTTTTATTAATTAATTAAGGATAATCACTTCATATTTAACATGGGTGTAATAATGATATTTGATCGAATAGAATTACTTGTTCAACATAATGATAATTTAAACAAAAAATTTTATATCAAAAATCAGATAATAAATAACGACACGGTTGTGCTATTTTTGAATAATTGTAGTTAAATATGATTTTTACCATGCACGAAATATTTCATGTTGTTATGATTATTATTTTTTTTTTGTTAAATTACTCTACACTACTTGTTTGGTGAAACAGTCAGAAAAAATTACACTGTTTCATGTGATTATAATTATCAAATTTTCAAACAATGTAAAAAGAAAAAAATTAAAACATCTATAAATATTATGAAAAACTCAAGATTTTGAACATGAACAGTTAATTTTCAGGAAGAGTTTTTAGTTTTCGTGACTTCAAGCCATTTCTCAATGAAAATTGACGAGCTTAGTATGGAAATACATCTTCTACATATTCCCTAGAAATTATAAATCGATTTTTTATTCTATTCTTTATGAATTAATTTCTTTAAGGAATTTATTTTGCTTTATAATATTATTTAACCATAGATTTATTAGATTTTAATTTGTACTTACAAGACATTGATGAGGGACTCGGATGGCCACTCACGACGAGGCCGAGCCTTACTGGGCATTTTTGTTGTTTTTTCTCACATTATTCGATGATTCTGAAATCAGAAGCAAACATAAATAATTAGAATTCGTTGAATGAATTTTTAAAAAAGAATATTATGAAGTAGGTAAGGTGAGTTGATAATAAATATTTGTTTATGTAGTTTGAAAATATAATTGATCTGACGTCAAATAAATATTGAATCAGTCATAAGGAAGTAATTATAAAAATGTAGATTGGACGTCAATTAGTAGCTTGTTGCTATTCGCTCTGACAATCTGAATCAAAACAATTTTTCTCATCAATTCTGAAGTATAAAAAATTATCAATAATAATTAATAATTATTCAATAATTGTAAAATACATCCAATATTCCAATTTATAACTCTATTACGTGTCTATGCTCAGACTTATTTTCACTCTATTGCATTTTTGCTGCAAATCAAACAGAGATCAAGACTTTGGTTGCAACCATTGAATATGTTTTTCTGTTAGCTCTTCCAAATTAAATATGAGAATCCTAACCAATGTTAGCCAAGACGATGATGATCAGATTTCTGAAGAATTCTTTGATAAAATTATTCATTTTCAAGAAATATGATAATTCAATGAATATATGAAGACTTTGAATAATAAATAAGATGAGAGGTTGAATGTTCAGGTGATGTTACATTTAATATTTATTAAACATACTTTTATTCATTTGGTCTGGGGTTTTTTTTATTAAGTTAAAGTTGTTTATTCTATAAAAATGATTGGAAATTAATTATTCATCTATGAATGTGTGTCCAACATGTTGAATAAAATATGTAGAGGTTATGTCTTTATTTGTCATTTCAACATTTATTAATATTCTGACATAAGAATGATTATTTTGATAGATTTGTTTTAGAATATTTGAATGAAAAAAATACTATTTTATTAAAAGTCAATAGATATAAAAAGGATTTCAGTGGTATCATGGTTGAAAAGTTTTCAATTTCAAACAGTATGTATTATTCTCTTCTTTTTATGGAGTCGACTGATATATTTTTTTGTTCACTTGGATTGGAATCAATTCACGACAATGGGTGTTTGACAGTTTTTTTTATTTGCTGGCTTTGGTGTTTGGAATTATCAAAAATTTAAGTAATACCAACCAAAGTAAACATTGGTGATTAAATAACGTTTAAAATTTTATTAAAAGACTAACCCATGGATCAAGAGTTTTTATTATTTTTTTTTTAATGGATCATTGTGATAGTGAATTAAAACTATTTATTCAAGCTTCTATAGCTTTTCAACTAATAGAAATTCAAATGATAAAAATCATAAATCTTCAATGCAAAAGTTTTTTAGTATTTTTATTCCATTATAAAGAATGGAATAACTTTGAAAATTGAAAAGAAAAAATAGTTTAAAAGACTTGATGAAAAATTTGTTACAAAGTGATTTTATCTTCGATGAATATATTTTTATTGCATCTTATCTAAAATGCATACTTTCCCACATTATCACAAAGTCATTTAAATAAATCTGTTGAAGTTAAAATTCAAATGACTCAATAATTCAACTTGGTAGTAAGATTCTAGGCAATATAACAAGGCAAAACTCGATTAACCCTACCACCCATTATGTGATCTATTCACTAGTCTGTCAAGGACAGTCTGAATAATACATTCCTACAAGCCACAAATAGCTTTTGGTTCACATTTAGTGTATATCTCTGGTGATAGCCCTTCATTTCGAATTGAATTATGCAAATAAGCTTTAGATCATTCGAGTTCTCATTAAAATAAAAAAACTGGAGATTTTATCGAGCCTAGCGTTTTGAATATAGTCGTGGGCGAATTTTATTAAGTCGTCAAGTAGTCATAATATCAACTTGGATGAATTTAACATATTATTTCAGACTTATTTTGCTGATAGGGTAAATAAATAAGTACTTTATACGAACAGGAGGATAAAGAGTCAACAAAAAGCAATATTTTTTTTAATTCTCAAGAGCAGTCTATGAGGTCCTACTTCCCTCAAATATATTTTTTATTTTTAATATTATCAGTTATAAACATTTTTAATTATCGAAGTTTTTACTGAAACTGATGTTTTTTACTGACTTCAAAAAATATTCAATACCTCGAGGTGTCCAGAAGGGTAGCTTCTGGGGTAGAAAGGGAGTTGTAATGTTTTTATATGCTTTTAAGGCTCGAAATATTATACCCTGGTAATTGAAGTTAAATGTAATACAATTTTTTTTTTACATTCTCGTTTTTTTTGTTTTAAGTTGATGTTATGACACAGGGATCATGTAATAAAAATTGATTAAAAAATTTTTATATTATTTATAAGACCATTAAACGTAGAGCTTTTTGTCAAAATTCATTTATCATTATAAAAATACTTTTATAAAAAATTATTTTAAAACTTTTCATCAATGAATTACCCAATAAATTAAGTTTGCAAATATCAGATAGAATTGATTTAGTATAACTTCGATCCATTCTACAACCTTACGTCATTGAAAAAATTTAATATTCTCAGTAATACCTTACAAGTTTAATATTGTCTCGTAAATATAGAGCATTTCAAAGTAATTTTCCTTTAATAATATTTTTCATACACGAAGGTAAAAGATCTTAAAATAATAATGAGCTTTTTCAAGAAAAAACAATAAAAAAAATGGGTCTGGGTGCACTTTATGCCCTGACGACAAACTTCTCATTCATTGAAGTTCGTAATTTTGTCATTTTTTTATTTACAACAAATTACTATTGTTATAAACAACATATAATTATTTAGAGCCATATGAAGTTATTAGCAACCGTATTGTATTGACATTGAGTTCAGTTTCAAACAATATTAATCATCAAATAAGTAGAATTTCCTTCAAATATCTTCTTTACTGAACTTATTTTACTCTTTTTGTTATTAAAAAAAACCGGCTGGACCGAATTTATTAAAACTTATTCTCAGATCTTCTTCGTCGTATTATCTTTAAAATGAAATTTATCCGGAGTCGAGATCTCCAGTGGTTCTCGAGATATTGCAAATGAAAAAAACCGGACATACGTACGTACAAATATACGTACGTGGATCAATTTTTTAAACCTTCTCATATGCTTCCAAATATTTCAAAACGTAAAGAAATGGCAAAATTACGAAAATCAACTCCATAATAATAACTTCCTAATGTAAAGTTAATAATAATGAGCTTTTTCAAGAAAAAACAATAAAAAAAAGAAAAAAAATAGCACAAAATTTTACCGAGTAGGAAGGAATGTCTAGGGGATTGGTAGAGTCAATTGATTGTGCTTGATATTGAGTCTGCACGTGGTTCCAAAAGTGGTAAAAGCGTAGTAGAAGCCTATACTACTAGTAAGCTCACGTAGTAGTGTAGTAGTAGAATATGTAGAAACAGGAAGGCGCCGATGCGTCTGCGCTCTCTTTCCACGAAGTATTGTGAGTCAAGGTCTTACTAGAGTCGCAATCGACCTGACCTCGCACCTTTTCCTTAACCTATACATTCACACCTACATAATTCTACTGTCCACATTGACATTTTTCTACATACTTCCTGTCACGTCTATAACCATTTTTCCCTCTTTATTCTCGACCTTTTCATCGTCGCCGAAACCTCTTTGATGTGCTACGCTCATGACGTTGGAGAAAAATGTGCTTTTGTGCATCGTTTTAGGTCGACAAAAATATATAGAAGACATATTCATGGAATTTTTCATTTGCTACAGCAACAGAAAAAAAAATCTTCAATAAATAACCTAACATAGATAACATCACAAAGTTAAAAACTTGCTGTCATATTGTGAAAAACATTACTTTATATCAAAAATATTATGCAAGGTGGCAATGTATAATCAATCCAAGTGTAATTATGTGTAAATCATCACTTGATTTATTGAGATCAATTTATAATTGATGGATTATATTTGAAGACAATCACACACCATACAACTGAGGAACTGACAATTAAGATAAGATCTGTCTAAAACAGGAAACAAAAATATAGTAAGTAATACTCTAATCAAATATTTGATTAATTTGATGTATTTGGCGGAAATATTCAAATCTAACCTTTTCATTCCAGAAATTTGTCAACTGAGTATTGTTGATGACATTTGTTGTGATGACTAAATAAACATTGTGACATATTCAATTAACTGGATCATTTTGTCGAAAGAAAATAGAATGAAGATTAAAATGAACGATTGAAGAATCGAGGTAAATGAAGAGTGAAATAAGTTGAAAGCACGTTTCGACATAACTTAGATGAACTCGTGCTACGGCCTTTAATTGAACTTTTTGCTTGTTCGATTATTCTTCTCCAATCCGAAGTGCTCAGAGGTACAAATATTGAGAAGCAGAGAATAGCTTGAAATAAATAATTTACGACAAGCAAAAAAATCAATAGCCTCTATAGAATCTTCCCTGCTCCAAAATTGAGATGAGATCCTAAAATGATTTATATTAAACTCCTGCCTATTAATACACAGCTTTTCGAACAAAAAGTCAACAGATGTCACAGAAATTGGGTAAAAAATATAAACAATAAATTTATTTTATTCTTTCAACAGGAAGAGAACTAAAGATTTTTTTTTTTTCAGTAAAAAATCTCATTTTTGAAAAAAATAAAATGGTTAAATTATTATCGTTAAATTTTTTCTTGTCAAGTATTTTTTTATTCAAAAAATAAAAGAGTTGGAAAAATTCGTTTAACAAAGTAGTACAATATTCACATAAAATATTGCTCCTTAACATAGAGTTCTTATTCGACACGTTTTCTTACAAACTTTTCCCCTTTTCTTTCATGATGTTTTTCTTTCCTTCTCTCGACTCAACGAGCCAACGAAAACCAAAGTTCTGGGATATGTAAATTTTCGCGAGAAATACAAACCTTATTGTATAGTATTCGTATCATTACCATAGTATAATTTGACGAAATTGTATGTCCAATGCATATACAATTGAGATAAAAGTGATGTATTAAGAGGAAAAAAGTAAACACAGGTTTAATAAAAATGATTGAAAAACTTGCTACTTTACACTGAATGAAAAACTTGA